AACTACACCGCTCAACACACAGTACAGGACTGGGGACAACTACACCGCTCAACACACAGTACAGGACTGGAGGCAACTACACCACTCAACACACAGTGCAGGACTGGGGACAACTACACCGTTTAACACACAGTACAGGTTTGGGGTCCGCCTGCACCGCACTGGGGACAACTACACCGCTCAACACACATTACAGGACTGGGGACAACTACACCGCTCAACACACAGCACTGGACTGGGGACAACTACACCGCTCAACACACAGTACAGGACTAGGGGCCACCTACACCGCTCAACGACCAGTACAGGACTGGGGACAACTACACCGCTCAACACACAGTACAGGATTTGGGACAACTACACCGCTCAACACACAGCACTGGACTGGGGACAACTGCACCGCTCAACACACAGTACAGGACTAGGGGCCACCTACACCGCTCAACGACCAGCACAGGACTGGGGACAACTACACCGCTCAACACACAGTACAGGACTGGGGACAACTACACCGCTCAACACACAGTACAGGACTGGGGACAACTACACCACTCAACACACAGTGCAGGACTGGGGACAACTATACCAGTCAACACACAGTACAGTACTGGGAACGACACCGCTCAACACACAGTACAGGAATGGGAACCACCTACATCGCCGAACACACAGTACAGGACTGGGGACAACTACACCGCTCAACACACAGTACAGGATTGGGGACAACTACACCAGTCAACACACAGTACAGGACTGGGGACAACTACACCGCTCAACACACAGTACATGAGTGGGGACAACTACACCAGTCAACACACAGTGCAGGACTGGGGACAAGTACACCGCTCAACACACAGCACTGGACTGGGGACAACTACACCGCTCAACACACAGTACAGGACTAGGGGCCACCTACACCGCTCAACGACCAGTACAGGACTGGGGACAACTACACCGCTCAACACACAGTGTAGGACTGGGGCCACCTACACCGCTCAACGACCAGTACAGGACTGGGGACAACTACACCAGTCAACACACAGTACAGGACTGGAGACCACCTACACCACTCAACACACAGTACAGGACTGGGAACCACCTATATCGCTCAACACACAGTACAGGACTGGGGACAACTACACCGCTCAACACACAGTACAGGACTGGGGACAACTACACCACTCAACACACAGTACAGGACTGGAGGCAACTACACCGCTCAACACACATTACAGGACTGGGGACAACTACACCACTCAACACACAGTGCAGGACTGGGGACAACTACACCGTTCAACACACAGTACAGGACTGGGAACCACCTATATCGCTCAACACACAGTACAGGACTGGGAACAACTACACCGCTCAACACACAGTACAGGACTGGGGACAACTACACCGCTCAACACACAGTACAGGACTGGGGACAACTACACCAGTCAACACACAGTACAGGACTGGGGACAACTACACCGCTCAACACACAGTACAGGACTGGGAACAACTACACCAGTCAACACACAGTACAGGACTGGGGACCACCTACACCACTCAACACACAGTACAGGACTGGGAACCACCTATATCGCTCAACACACAGTACAGGACTGGGGACAACTACACCGCTCAACACACAGTACACGACTGGGAACAACTACACCGCTTAAGACACAGTACAGGACTGGGGACAACTACACCGCTCAACACACATTACAGGACTGGGGACAACTACACCGCTCAACACACAGTACAGGACTGGGAACAACTACACCGCTCAACACACAGTACAGGACTGGGGACAACTACACCGCTCAACACACAGTACAGGACTGGAGGCAACTACACCACTCAACACACAGTGCAGGACTGGGGACAACTACACCGTTCAACACACAGTGCAGGACTGGGGACAAGTACACCACTCAACACACAGTACAGGACTGGGAACAACTACACCACTCAACACACAGTACAGGACTGGGGACAACTACACCGCTCAACACACAGTACAGGACTGGAGGCAACTACACCACTCAACACACAGTGCAGGACTGGGGACAACTACACCGTTCAACACACAGTACAGGACTGGAGACAACTACACCGCTCAACACACATTACAGGACTGGAGGCAACTACACCGCTCAACACACATTACAGGACTGGGGACAACTACACCACTCAACAGAGTACAGGACTGGGGACAAGTACGCCGCTCAACACACAGTACAGGAATGGGGGCCACCTACACTGCTCAACACACAGTACAGGACTGGGGACAACTACACCGTATACATTGCCTGGGGATAACACCGACTGTCTATCTTTTTTGTAACTGTCATGGAAACATATCCATTCAGTGTGCCAAACTATCAATGATGCTCACAATTTTCATATAAATAGTTTTCATTAATCTGTCATTTTGCAATCAGCTTTAGATGCCGGTGAAACTCCAAATGTTCTTTTCACCTGACAAACGCAGTGAACTGTTACACGGCATTCTTGAGGACATAAGGTAGTTATTTTCTTTACGTAAAAATAGAACTATCTGGCCACTCTTTTGTGCACGATAGAGGAAAGTGGGTGCTACGTCGCTTTTAGCATTATTAGCTCACCTGAACTTTAAGTAACGTCCATCCGTCTGTACGTTATACACATTTACTTTTCGACATCTCAGAAACCACAAAACTTATGAAGCTGAAACTTTGTGTGAATGATCCCAACTATAGTGTCTCTAAACTGTGTTCACAGAATTCTGTATGTATCATAATAACTGTGTCAGTGCATTGGACAGTATTTCGGTTATGTCAGCTTAACATGAAAGGAAAGCCTGAAGTGATGCAGGTCTCAGACGTTTACCGTTTTGGTAAAACCCACAAGCACAGCAATGGTGCTGACAAACCTAGAAACATAATCAGGGCGAACCACAGGTCTCTGGGGTACCCAAAGGGCTTAACTCTGTGTCCCCGGTTCTGCCTGCTTCGGGAGTGTGGACTTGCACAATAATTATTAGTTTAAATTATAATTTCTAGATAATATAAATAATAACAAGTTGTCCCCAAAAGAGACTGGCCTCCAAAGACTGTACTCTTATCTAGACTTGCCTATTAGAAGGATAAAATTACTATAAACCCATGGAGTTATCATTCAATACAGCCTTGGGGCAAGTCTACGAAAGTGGCTACAGGTGCCCCTTCAGCAGATCTAATCTCTGACAGGAAGGAGAAGGCACAAGGTGGAGGCTGTCATCCTGCCACCTAGAAGGGTTTACTCGCTATTGGACCTCTGACTGGGAGGAGAAGACACAAGGTGGAGGCCGTCATCAAGCCACCTCGAAGGGTTTACTCGCTACTGTGGGAGGAGAAGACACAAGGTGGAGGCCGTCATTCAGCCACCTCGAAGGGTTTACTCGCTATTGGACCTCTGACTGGGAGGAGAAGGCACAAGGTGGAGGCCGTCATCCAGCCACCTCAATGGGTTTAGTTGCTACTGGACCTCTGAACTTGGGTTGTCATCTTGGGACTCAAGATGTAATTTTTATCCAGAAATAGCCACGGACTGTGCAATAAATCTTGCACTATGACTGAGGAATATATGTATTTTATGAACACAAAACCAGGTGTATATAAAAGAAAGTCTAACCAGCTCTATTCCATATGAAATCAGCATCAGGAAAATTAATTGTTTTAGTTTTAGAGGAGAGAAATATACCCTCAGCTGAAAATAGTAATGGCTTCTTACTGTCAGAGGGTTGTTCTTAAAGCTTACAGATCACATCGTTTGGCAGTGGTTTCATTCCAGCACTTCTTTGATCAGTCACTGAAAAATATCCTTGTTGACTTAACCTTTTCCAAGATGTATATGATTTATTTCGGATTATATGCACTAATATCCTATAGAGTTCCCAGATACACCTGGTGACCCTACATTGTATTATTTGTAGGTGGGGTACTACATGTTCTATCACAAAAATAAATAATAATTATATAATATAAACATATGAATATAATTAAATAACATTATTACCCTGGATCAGTGTGCATCCAATTGCATTCTCAGCTCCCTGGGGAGTATACATATCCAAGCAGCTGTGAGATGGGAGAAGGTTTGCATTCATGTCACCATCTCATACTACCAGGTATCCAGTTGCTGCTGGGAAACAGACGCTTATCTGGAACCAAGTAGAATCCCACCTGATTGTGACCTGTGTGCTATGAAAGGATCATGTACCACTGCAAGAAAGTGTAGTCTATTGAGCAAACCATCAATAGACAACTCATGTAGCTAATCCACTGTGTTTAAGTGAGTGAGTATGAACAATGTTGCTTGTGTTTGTTGTTCAACAATGTTCCAACTACATGTATATTAGGACAGCCTGTAAATAATCCAGTCTGGACCAAACAAACCAGAGGATGCTGGCATGATTCAAGTCCCACACCATCATTGTCTGTTGAGACACAATCAGCCACGTCAGTGTGACCCTGCAATCCTCAATATGATCGGTGCTAAAGACAAGGGTGGACGAGATCAATACTGACCGGAATCCCCATGGGGTTGGTCGTGGTAGTACTTAGTTTTGACATAAAATACAGCATCTGTTATCTGTTAGTATATATTGTTTACCTTCGAAAATTACATTTTATGAAACATGGTGCTTTTGTGAATTTTACTGTTTATTGCTGTCTGTAGTCAATCACATCCAGAAACCATGACTTTGGTCCTAATTCGTGTATCAAACGGTCTATTCCTTTATTCAAAGTTCAGGTCCAGCAAGCATGGAGCGGATGAAGCAGGGAGTAGGCCAAATATTTCAAACAATTCAGTTACAACAGAATCCAATTCTGAAAATAGAGGTCTGACTGATGGATGTGAGTTAAAGCAAACTAACTCAGACTCTCGGACAGATTTGACATACACTTCTAGCCACAAGGGCAACCTACATCATTAAAATGGGAGACTACGTGTGGTGTCTTAAATCATTGATAACAGAAGGATGGTTAAAAACTAATATGATTTATTGACAGGAACAAGCTGGGAGATACACCTCAGTCATTCATCATGTTCACACAATGTACACAGCTCATACACAGCATAGTCCTTCACATGCCAGCAATGACAACAAAATGTCTACAAAAATAAATAACGTCTGGAACTGCTTTCCTGCAGCAAGTTAGAATGAGTCAGATAGATATGGGATGAGTGTATGTGACCTCGACTGGCAAGTATCCTGGATCACTAGATACTGTATCCTATGATGAACCTAGATAACTAGACAGCCTGAGCGCTGGATAGAGTTTTCTCCTTTATTCTGTATGTTGACAAAGCCAACATTATAGTAGAGTAGAATGCAGTTTCCTACACCATCTTTCCAATAAGGTATACTTCCATGTTGAAAGAACAATAATTTAGCCATTAAAAGATAAATCACTCATACCTGGTATTATGTTAAGTAGATGGGAAGATCTCTTGGAAGAGTATTGTTTTTATATTTAGATTGCCTGGAGAATGGTAAATAGGATGAAAACAATGTTTTGTTTATCTTAGAAAATTAACCAAACTCTTCAACAAAAGTAACAAGGCATTAACATGAATGTAAATTTTTTACCCTACAATAATGAGCACTTAGAGATTAGAGTCTTTTCTGTAAGAATCACAAATAACCTTGACATTCCCCCCAAAATATCTCAGGGTAAGCTGCGCATCAAAACACAAGCTTCTTTGCAAGTCCAGCTGTAAAGAAAAATGAAGGATATCAGTTCATACATGAAGAAACAGTCCAGGAACGTTCCACAAAGGCTATTAACCTGCTGTGGATTTAGATATTATTATCACACCTTTGATACAGGAAACAATTGAAAACTTAACTCTGTTAGTATGGTATGTAAAGCACAATCAAGAAATCTACATTCCTCTAACTATAAAACCCACTACCTGTGACAAAATATATATTTAATATTGAAAAACACTTTGAGATGCATAGGTATATAGACTATTGGTATTATAACCATTTTTCAGTGGCTAACAGGAGGATTGGTAAGTGCCTTATATGTACAGTGATGTGTAAATAAAATACTACCAGTACATTAATAATCCATGACAAGCATTTTCCTTCAAAGTAAATCAATCTTTTAACAAAATAAAAACAAAACACAAAATAAAAATCAGTTTGAGACAATGCTTAAAGTCCACTTGGCAAAACTTTGTATCATCTTTCACAGATCTAACATATACACTGTCATTTGATCACTTTAAAACAAACAAATGAAATTGTACGACACAAATACTACTAAACCATCTACTTACTGGACTCCCTCAGCTGTTGAGTGACACCTGTGCTACAGAGCATCCACCATCTACTTACTGAACTCCCCCAAGCTGTTGTGTGACATCTTCGCTACAGAGCCTCTACCCATCTACTTACTGAACTCCCCCAAGCTGTTGTGTGACATCTTCGCTACAGAGCCTCTACCCATCTACTTACTGAACTCCCCCAAGCTGTTGTGTGACATCTTCGCTACAGAGCATCCACCATCTACTTACTGAACTCCCCCAAGCTGTTGTGTGACATCTTCACTACAGAGCCTCTAACCATCTACTTACTGTACTACCCCTGCTGTGTGACACCTGCACTACAGAGCCTCTAACCATCTACTTACTGGACTCCCCCTGCTGTTGTGTGACATCTTCACTACAGAGCACCCACCATCTACTCACTAGACTCCCCCAAGCTGTTGAGTGACATCTTCGCTACAGAGCCACTACCCATCTACTTACTGAACTCCCCCAAGCTGTTGTGTGACATCTTCGCTACAGAGCCTCTACCCATCTACTTACTGAACTCCCCCAAGCTGTTGTGTGACATCTTCGCTACAGAGCCTCTAACCATCTACTTACTGGACTCCCCCTGCTGTGTGACATCTTCGCTACAGAGCCTCTACCCATCTACTTACTGAACTCCCCCAAGCTGTTGTGTGACATCTTCACTACAGAGCACCCACCATCTACTTACTGAACTCCCCCAAGCTGTTGTGTGACATCTTTGCTACAGAGCACCCACCATCTACTCAATAGACTCCCCAAAGCTGTTGAGTGACATCTTCGCTACAGAACCTCTAACCATCTACTTACTGGACTCCCCCTGCTCTTGTGTGACATCTTCACTACAGAGCACCCACCATCTACTTACTGGACTCCCCCTGCTCTTGTGTGACATCTTCACTACAGAGCACCCACCATCTACTTACTGGACTCCCCCTGCTCTTGTGTGACATCTTCACTACAGAGCACCCACCATCTACTTACTGGACTCCCCCTGCTGTTGAGTGACATCTTCACTACAGAGCACCCACCATCTACTCACTAGACTCCCCCAAGCTGTTGAGTGACATCTTCGCTACAGAACCTCTAACCATCTACTTACTAGACTCTCCCAGCTGTTGTATGACACCTGCACTACAGAGCCTCAACCCATCTACTTACTGGACTCTCCCATGTGTTGTGTGACCTATCTACTTAATGTACTCCCCCTGCTGTTGTGTGACATCTTCACTACAGAGCCTCTAACCATCTACTTACTGGACTCCTGCTGCTGTGTTGTGACCCATCTACTTACTGGACTCTCCGAGCTATTGTGTGACACCTGCACTACAGAGCCTCTACCCATCTACTAACTAGACTCTCCCAGCTGTTGTATGACACCTGCACTACAGAGCCTCTAGCCATCTACCTACTAGACTACCCCTGCTGTTGTGTGACACCTGCGCTACAGAGCCTCTACCATCTACTCACTAGACTCTCCCAGCTGTTGTGTGACACCTGCGCTACAGAGCACCCACCATCTACTCACTAGACTCTCACTGCTGTTGTGTGACATCTTCACTACAGAGCACCCACCATCTACTCACTAGACTCCCCCAAGCTGTTGAGTGACATCTTCGCTACAGAGCATCTACCCATCTACTCACTAGACTCTCCCAGCTGTTGCATGACACCTGCACTACAGAGCCTCTACCCATCTACTTACTAGACTCCCCCTGCTGTTGTGTGACACCTGCGCTACAGAGCCTCCACCATCTACTTACTAGACTACCCCTGCTGTTGTGTGACACCTGCGCTACAGAGCCTCTAACCATCTACTTACTGGACTCCCCCTGCTGTTGTGTGACACCTGCGCTACAGAGCCTCTAACCATCTACTTACTGGACTACCCCTGCTGTTGTGTGACACCTGCGCTACAGAGCCTCTACCATCTGCTCACTAGACTCTCACTGCTGTTGTGTGACATCTTCACTACAGAGCACCCACCATCTACTCACTAGACTCCCCCAAGCTGTTGAGTGACATCTTCGCTACAGATCCTCCACCATCTACTTACTGGACTCCCCCAGCTGTTGTGTGACACCTGCGCTACAGAGCCTCTACCCATCTACTTACTGGACTCCCCCAGCTGTTGTGTGACACCTACGCTACAGAGCCTCTACCCATCTACTTACTGGACTCCCCCAGCTGTTGTGTGACACCTGCGCTACAGAGCCTCTACCATCTACTCACTAGACTCTCACTGCTGTTGTGTGACACCTACGCTACAGAGCCTCTACCCATCTACTCACTAGACTCTCACTGCTGTTGTGTGACACCTACGCTACAGAGCCTCTACCCATCTACTCACTAGACTCTCACTGCTGTTGTATGACACCTGCACTACAGAGCCTCTAACCATCTACTTACTAGACTACCCCAGCTGTTGTGTGACACCTGCGCTACAGAGCCTCTACCATCTACTCACTAGACTCTCACTGCTGTTGTGTGACACCTACGCTACAGAGCCTCTACCCATCTACTCACTAGACTCTCCCAGCTGTTGTTGGACACCTGCGCTACAGAGCCTCTACCCATCTACTTACTGGACTCCCCCCTGCTGTTGCGACACCTGCGCAACACAGCCTCTACCCATCTACTTACTGGACTCTTCCAGCTGTTGTGTGACCCATCTACTTACTAGACTCTCCCAGCTGTTGTTGGACACCTGCACTACAGAGCCTCTACCCATCTACTTACTGGACTCCCCCCTGCTGTTGCGACACCTGCGCAACAGAGCCTCTACCTATCTACTTACTGGACTCTCCCAGCTGTTGTGTGACCCATTTACTTACTGGACACTCCCAGCTGTTGTGTGACACCTGCACTACAGAGCCTCTACCCATCTACTTACTGGACTCCCCCTGTTGTTGCTTCCTCTTGATGCCTGCTCTCAGTATCTCCTGCTCCTGGTTCACTATCTTGTTGGAGCCAGGCCGAGGGAGCTTCGAACCTGCAGCTGGGGCAGGCTTGTTACTGAAGTAAGGCATTTTCAAAGCCTGAAATCATAGTAATCGATAGTGAGTGAGCTCAGAGGAAACAGCACTTCATTCATATCACGGCATGTCAGCCGAAAGTAAGAGGAAAGTATGAAGGGATGCTGGTCGTACATGCTTACCTTTTGTAGAAGACAGGTATGGTGCAGGCAAAATGAGGAATGTTATCAGGCAAATTTACAATTCAAACCCACGATTTTGTCATGGCTAGGGGATGCAACTCTGCAAAGTGAAATGCAGGGTCTGAGAATACTGGGCCCCCCATGCCAATGAATAATAATCCTAGGTGGACATAACACTGTGTCTATACACTTTTGCAGTGAAATGTCTCCCACTTTTAAAACATAATACTCAGAAGGCGCCCAAGATGCAACGACTGCTTCCAACATTAAAAGATGACAAACCGATCAATACTTTTCCTACACTCCCTGTTCATAACACTATCACACTTTACCTCTGTTGCTGAGCAGCGTTTGAGAGGGTCCATGGCCAGCATCTTGTCCATCACCTCCAGCAGGTCATCACCAGCGGCTATGAAGATGTCCTTCAGGGGTTGCCGTGGATACTGCTTGAATTTGATGAAGTCTGGTAGGTGCTGCATGTCCTGCAAGGCGAGTGTGACTGAGGGATAATGCTACATTCTTTCTAGGCATATTATCATCAGTTTGATAGGTCTTCTTTCAATAAAAACCTGCATTCCTACACAAACTGGTTTAAATCAGGATGATCAGGCTGATGACAAATATTCCAACTGAATTTCATGATCCTAAATAACAAGTGAGAATCTACCCCTAACACCGACCATAAAGCATAGTTAGCTTTCACCCTTGTATCTATTTCCCATTGCTCCGACACCTTGGCTTAATATCATGGTTAGAGTCTGGCTACTTTTAACAACTGCACCACATAGTTATCATACAAATATACTCAGATACTGATTCTCATCCATATGCATTACCCATACAATCACCAAAATCTGTCTTTTTCTGATCTTTTTTTCATTGGTTCGAATCATAGATAATCATAATAATCGTGATATTTTATCTTCATCCTGATTTGGACCACAAGGAACAGTAGTCAGGACTATATGCTGCACTAGAACACTACAATTGTATGTGTACAAGATGAATTCCTGTAAAGATCTGAACAAAGAACATCCCCAAACAATCATGTTATGAGAGACAATTGTTATTATTACCGGCCAGTCTTCATCTCCTGGTGTCCCAAGCACCTGAAAGATTCTACTGAGTTGATCCAGGTCAGAATCTCCAGGCAGGAAAGGCGCCTACAATGATTACAGTGATTCAATAGAACCAGCAAGCTAAATATAGTTGATTTAATTTACAAATGAGAAAAACATTACCAAAAATTGTATAGTTAATTATATACTTATCCAATCTCACACTATGCATTTCTCTTTCTTTTTTCTATTTTAAGTGAAAACAAGTCGAAAACAAAGGTTTCCAGCTTCTAAGTTAATTCACATGTACATACCTCACATCGCCATGGTCACCTCCCTGATCTGGGTCATGCATGCTTTGCATGGTTGTTGACCTACCTGCAATGATCACGTGCCTAACCCAGCCAACCCATTTCAAGAGTGTATAGCCTAAAGTACTGTGATGCAGGGATGTACGGGTGGATATACAACATGTGAGATAGGATAAGTATTTTAATATACAGTTTATTGTAAAATTTCAAAAAATGTAAACTTATTCTATCTCACACCATGCATTTATCCCATGGTTGGAAGGTGGGGCACAACTCCCTTGCTCACATAGGCGAAAACCGGAGGATATTTACAAGGAAGTGGGAGCTTAACAGTGGTACAATACATAATACAGTAACAAGTTAAGTGAAATAAGACAAAACTTGTAGACAGGAATAAAGAACAAAAATGGATTCCCCATGTAGACAAACGCGTCATCACTGTGAAAGAGAATGTTGACTGGATTAGGCACGTGATCAGCGCATGTAAAACAACCAGCATGCAAAGCGTGCATGACCCAGATCTGGGAGGTGACCATGGTGATGTGAGGTTTGTATGGATGAATTAACTTTAGAATCTGGAAAGCTTTGCTTCAGACACGTTTCCACATGGGATTGAAAGAAGAAAGAGAAATGCATAGTGTGAGATAGGATAAGATATTAGTAATGTATTATTGAGAGAAAACAGATTTATCTATGCAAGTAAAACTTGTATTTGTTTGACACTATCACAAATGCTTACCCGAATTAACAACTCAGCAAGTATGCATCCCACAGCCCATATGTCCACACCTGTGCTGTAGAATCTAGCTCCAAACAGTAACTCGGGACACCGATACCATCTGAAAGACAAACAATGTTAGGATGTTGTCTGATCAGTCGTGATGATCAGATCACTTCAATGAAGTGTAATGGAATACAGGTCAAATCTATTGTTTGACCAGAAATTATGGAGACTTTTCATACCATTTTGGATAGCAATATTTACCATATCAAAGGTGTATGTAGAACTTAGGTTGACTTTGATTCAAGGGAGACAACTCCATGTGTCATACTTATTAAGTATCAGCACATGTCGTTAAAGGGAGAACAGACATTCCACTATCAACTGTGTACGGCGTTTCGAAAAATATTGAGAGTGGACAGGGAACTGAACTCAAAAAGGGAGTAGGTCGGCCAAAGAAACTGACGGCTGGTGACAGAAGGCTATACTGGCATAAAAAAACGGCCCATGAGCATAGAAAATATTAGGCATGAAAATGATTAATATTGGGACAGTTGATGTTTCTAAAAAGACAATAAGAACGCATTTGTGTGCAATGCATTGGCAGAAATCACCACTCCTAAAACCTGAACAGCAAAAACGACGTTTGAACTGGTGTTTGGAGCATAGAAACTTCAGATGGGACAATGTTTATGTTCTCAGATGAAAGTTCAGAGTGTCTATGTCCAAACTGCTTAAAAGTGTGGACCAAAGGTACAGAAAAAACAATTTACCAGCATCCAAAGTACAGTCCTAAATTTCATGTGTGGGGTGGGGTGTCTGTCGGGTACCACACCATTATGTGTATTTGAAGGTAACATGACTAGTGCAGTGTACACTGATATTCTCACTTCTTTGATAGGCAGTATGCCTCACTGCTTTGAAGCATGTATTAGGGAAAGAGGTGGTCTAAAAATATATGGAACAGTTTGGTGTTTTGTAGCTTTAGGTAAGCAGTGTTTGTTGGACAAACTAATCTCTTGGTCTCTGACTTTATAAATCTGTAATTTACAATGTTCCCATTTTCAATAATTTCTGATCAAGCTGTATGTATGTATGTTGTATCATGTCTAAAGACATAATAATTGCTAAAGACTTATCAAAACTTTTCTTTCATATTCATCACATGTACAAATGGTCAAATTTTGTTGTTGTTTTTTTGTTTAATGCCGCACTTAGCAATATTATAGCTATATGACGGTGGTCTGTAAATAATCGAGTCTGTACCAGACAATCCAGTGATTGACATCATGAGCATCAATCTACACAATTGGGATACGATGACATGCATGAACCAAATCAGCGAGCCTGACCACCCGATCCCGTTTGTCACCTCTTACAGCAAGCATGGGTTGGTGAGGACCGATTCTCTACCCAGATCTTTATGGGTGACCAATGGTCAAAACACATTACTGATGAATGTGCTTCATGCACAAACTCATTGCAAAACAATATCTTACAGTGGGACATTGGCAAACCTTATAACCCTATCTTGTTACACCCATCGGGGATTACACTATACCCACCTGGTTACCACCTGATGAGAATATGGACGACTTGGTGATCCAAAAAACTTCGCCAGGCCAAAATCTCCAATCTTTAGAATTCCATGTTCATTAATAAGTAAATTATTTGGCTTCATATCCTGCAGAAACAAAAACAAATATATCATTCTTCGCTGCATATTAACTCCCATTCAAGGTCAGCAAGATACAACGCTGGGAGAGACTTCTAGGAAATCAATTCATAAATATGGCTGATTGTATAATTAACAATTTTTGTTAATGTAGCTTTATTCCACAGTAAGCAATATTCAAATATATATCAGGGCTTGTAAAATATTGGAGTGTGTAGCTGCCAAACATCTGGTGGATTGCATGACCAACAATCAACACCGTCCACATATAATGGTACACCATAAGCCAGACTCTTTCGTCATACAGAGATTTCTTATTGTGCATTATTAAATTCCCTTGCATGACAAACAAAAATGTCACAGCCTCGGGATATATAGTATCTCTGTCAAGTTCCACAACACAGACAATCCAGAAGTAAAATACCATCACCATCGTATCGGATATATCTCAGTCTGGTTACAATGAAATATTTTCACCATATTTATGCATTCCATATCCAAGACCAATAAAACAAATCAACAGCACAATGTGATTTCTGTTGAAGTGGAATGCCTACAAAATTGGGATTATAAACACCTAATGCAAGGGTGAGGTAAAGTGAAATTGTGTTTAACATCGCGCCCAAGATTATTGCACTTATATAGCGACGTGCATGCACGTGTGGCTGCTTGTACTAGTCCGGACTGATGCCGATTTATAGTGCTAGCCCACTGAGATACCATGCCGCAGTTTAACATGAATACCCCACTCAGACACAGTATACTGACTCCGAGTCCGAGCTGACCAGTCCTTGTTTTAGCCCCTGAATGCCAAGTGCCAGACAGGGTAACAACAAGTACCAGTACAAGTACAAGTCTTTTGGTATGACTCGCCCGGGGATCAAACCCCGGACCTTCCGCTCTCCAGGTGGACGCTCTACCACTAGACCACGGAGGCGGTCTTCCTAATGCTAGGGCATAGGGTAGCAGTAATTTGATTGATATGAAGGGAACTTGGAGGATTACAGGTTATTACATACAAACCCCTTGTCTGTAATTTCTAAACAATGATCAACATATGAAACTGAGGCGTTAGATTCTGTTGTTTCTTTGATTTCCAATTCTGGCAGGCACAACATTGCAAGAAATTGGATCGTCCATGTGAAATTAATCTTTTTTTGTGAACTGTTTGTTTTGTCTTGGATAGGTATTGTTTCAAGAGAAGCCATTAAGAAATAGTCACTGCAGTGTCTCCCCTACCCTGTGCAGTATCCAGTGAGTGTGGAGATACTCCAGGCCAAGCAGTGTCTGTAGCACGTAGGATTTGATGTGGGGAGACGTCAACACTATAGTCAAGTCTTTGATTATTATCTGAAATCAGGGACACAATACACATGATGAATATTTAGAATATTTCATTCAAATTGTAGAATGTGTAACTCCAAACCTAGACATAAGTGGAGCATTATTTGATAAATAAATAAAAGCAAGTAACCATGGTAGTAAGTGGAGTGTCATTTGATATACAAAACTTAAACGGGATCATGTTTATGACAAGAATTTTAACATTATTATTTTATCAAGCCTTGTGATTGATTTTTTTACCATGCTTACAGCTTATGATCATTGATGTAAACATGGTAAAGGTTGCATCTTGACAACTGCATAATGCCCACAATACATTTGCAACTGAAAAACTCAAAGACTGATAAATAATATAATTGATAGAATTACTTATTTCACACAGCGACTGTATACAGTAATCTGAAGCCCTGTTTAGTACAGTTTATACTGCTCTGGTAACCAAAATTCCATGTTGTAGAATCTTAAGGTTCAGCCCAGTAGACGAAAAGGTTGTTGGCACCAAATGCATGGTAAATATGGTGAAGAAAATTAACAATGTAGTATTTGACCGATAGTGATACAATAATACCAAAATACTTTCATTCAAACATGGTATAGTTAGAGATATAAGCTAACAGGTTGGGGCACTCTCACATCAACTACAATCTACACTGTGTTAAACATATCATTCAGGGCAGTCACAAGATTTCTTTTGGTAAATGTTCACCTTTAGCAAATGTTCAGGACATAATAACTTAATTACAAATCTGATATTTGACTTATTGAGGCCACAGGTTATGATTCAGAAGGGTGCTGAGCAATGCGAGTAGGTTTCTCTGACATGACAACTGCTGGTAAGTAATAGCTAGAATCAAATCACTGACCTCCAGATCTGTTTCCATGAAGTCAAACACCAGGCTAACATTGGACTTCTGACCAAACACATCCAGGAGCTGAAACACAGATAGATAGAAAGTCAAGTCAACGAAATATGTACACCAATACAGACATAGATATGTCACTAGTTTGGTTATTTTTTACAATACAATTTTGGGGGAAAGAAGATGATAGTACCATGATTGCTTAGGTCAGCAGAGCTAACTATCAGTATCAATGTTTGAGGTTTCTCTAATCTGAAATGCATTTTCACATCATTATGCTCCAATGGGTTGTATGGGGTAGAAAGGTGCAGGACCCCATAATCACTGAACTGAGGATTGAGTGGTCGCAATGTGTGGCCTGGCTTACTACACAAAGACTTGCCTACCCCAATAATGTGTTTGTGGCTGAGTTCCTGAAGGAGTTTGATCTCCCTGAGAGCTGTCCTGTTGATGCCATCAGCTGCCTCTGCTCTTGTTCCTACTTTAATCTGGGGATTGACACAGACATATAATATGACTATAACAAAAATTTCTTCAATCTGTACACGATTTAAACAGATTCAAAGATAATTCTACAAGTTTTGTCTCATACATCTCAGCATAGAAGCAGATATACTGAATATTGGGTAAGACTTCCGCCCGTATCTCCCCCAAAGAACATTATACAGTTGGAAGACACATGCTAACTGTACATATATATATATAATATTCTGATTCAAATATACAAAATTGTTCATTTAAGTGCTCATCTGGTATAAACTTATTGTTTTTTGTCCTTTGGGATTACCTAAGTAGATCTAGATCTACAACCTGTACAAGATAAAGAGAAAAATAACTAATACTAATAAAGCTAATAGAACTTTGTCCTTTGCATCTCTATGACCGTTCGAGTGAATGACCACATCAAATATGAACTGAAAGACTGACTCATTGAAGTAAACTGTTCAAGACTGTCTCTACAAGTATTGTTCAGTATGAAGTGGTGTACAGCAAATCTTATAAACTGGGGTAACGGAAAATGAGTACAGTCATCAAGAGGAACTTCAGAAAGTGGAATAAATAATAGAAGCCATGTCTCAACATGTTTATCTTATTTTTATGGAAAAATCAGCATGTAATGCATGCCTTATCAAATAATTAGTCATGAGGTATCCATGTCCTTTTCATAACTGGTTATATGTCTCGAATTACCTTTTTAACTGCTACAATATCTCCACTGTTGGTGTCCCTGGCCTTGTAAACTGTGGCAAACTGTAAATTACAAAGGTAAATCATATTCACATAACCATACAGCGGAGATACACACTAAAATGATTGAGTTCACAGTAGTTTTGTAGTGAGATTTAAGTTCTCATTAATATATAACTCTGTCGTAGAGTATCATTGTGGGTTCATTTCTTGGATCCATTTCAATGTCTAAATAGGCTAGACCTGTTCTGTTGATCATACAACGAATGAATGAATGCATGGGTGCTCAAACGGTCAGCATGGCTACCTGTCTCCAAAGAAATCACATCACGTTAATGACAGTTTATCTATCTTCTAGGATCAGACAGTAGCAATATATATTTATTCTCAATTTATTAACCTGTCCTTCGCCCAGAAAGTCGATTTTTTCATATCGTTTTATTCTGTCATCTGACATAGCAGCAGAATCGCGGTGCCAGGGAACCTGCCGCTGCCAGCGCCACCTGTTGGTGGGGAGAAATCATTGCACAGTATTGTATAACTTTGCAAGGGAGTGGCTAATTGTATATATCCGTGCAAGATTCGCCGTCATATATAAATAAAAACGTGGATGGTTCTCCATCATGAATAAATGAAAAAGCTTTTACTTATTAGAACAGCTTTAAGATGCATCAAAAACTGATTACAAGGCATAACAGACGGGAGCAAACGAAATGATCTCATAGAAGTTAAGATATACATCCAGGAAAGATTTATTCATGCGTGGTTATACATCTTCCTGAATGAAATACGTCCGGAATTAACGCAACATTTTTTAGATTTGTTCGCTGTTGAGGTAATTCTTTTGTCGGGCACTATTTCTGGTCTACAAAAACGAATTAACGTGTTAGATGAGTATTGTAAGGAATATAATTTAGTAGTAAATTTGGATAAATCTCAAGTAGTTGTATTGAAAAAAATGAATGCAAAAATGAATGGTATATCTTTAAATAGTTATCTAGGAATCCTATTTTCATAAACTTTGTCTTGGAAAAAGCACTTTGACATTTCTACTCTACAATGCAAAAATATTTTGTTTGGTATTTTAAAATCCCTTTCAAAGTTGAAACCTCTCTCACATGATGTGGTTAAGTTTTTAAAGTTTTTAACAGATTCTTTTGTTTCGGAGTTATGGCTAGATCACAGTATATGTATTAACAGGACAAAGAGTACGGTAACGTTTTAGAGCCTAGAGATAGGGATCTCTAGGCTCTAAAACGTTCTCGTATTCTTTATTTAAACCAATTTTAGGCGTTGAACAATATATTGGCTGTATCACTTTAAATAAGTTTCGTGTGGTTTTGGCAAGGTTAAGATGTGGCTCACATCGTCTAAAGTAGAAAAGAAACTGGTAGATACGATGGCATGCCAAGAAACTAAAGAACATATGATATGTGTAGCTACGGATATGTTGAAAGTGAATACCATTTTATATTGATATGTAGTGCATATGAACCCCTGCGGCAATTGTATGCCCCCCAAAAGTATTATATATTTCCAGAGACCATATAATAGATCTATATCTAATAATCTGATATTTCCTAGTTACACAAATTAAACTTGTTAATGTCTGAGAACAATTCGAATACAATAAAAATATGGGAATGTTTTTTTTCCATGCTAATAATTTGAGAAAAGAAACGTAATCAATTGTCTGTAGCACGCTTACAACATGTAATTGTCCGAAGGCCTTACTTGGTGAATAAATGATGATGATGGAATTAAATATGAAGTTTTACACGAGAGGTGTAGTGAAGTTCAGTTAAAAGTCTGTAAGGAGAAAGAAAAAAGTTACCTTTAACAAGGGAGGGATTGTCATAATGTGATAAAGTCCTAAGCCCAATAACGAACTGCAGTTATAACGAACTCAAATTAGTGGTCCCTTGGAGTTCGTTATAACCGCAGTTTACTGTTGTTTCTATTTGTATGTTGTATTTATTTCCTTTATCCAAAGTATTTACAATACACTGTGATCAACAGTGAAAGCTCTGTGTGTTGTCTTTACTAAACTTTGGTATAATAGATACTTCGGAGTGTGGACCAAGGTTAGCTGTAAATGAATATTTTTACATGTAAGAAAGCTCGTTAAGTTTGGCATGGGAAGTTGATTGATTGTTGAAGCACAGAAGTCAAAACAGTTTTCATAAAAAACAAGAGAATAGCAGGTTTTAGTCAGTGGCATTTTGCCATTTTCTGTAGAATGACCCGATTATGAGATTATGTGTTCACTGGAGATGCGTCATTAAGACATGTACAGACATTGGGTTGATTCTGGTAATCAGTTCCAAAGTGATAAATGATGTACCTTGATGTAGTAATACATTACACCTTGATGAATTATTTATGTGGCTTTTAAAGCCTATAAACACAATGAAAGTCTAAATGCCTATCAAAGAAGTTACAATGAAAGTCTTTTCATTAATTTATTTTTAGTCTCATTGGGTGTCTGACAAATCGGGTATGATCGGGACTAATCCATTTTACCACTTGGGTAACAGGCATTGGACATTGGCAGAACTCAATCGTGACATTTGTGATTTTAAAGTATCTCACAAATGGGGTGAGACCTCATACGTGAAATGCCTCCCTAATCTCCTGTTGCCTTACAATTACCTATGTGCTGGACAAGTAGGAAGACCCCAGCTTAAGAACTCTGATAGTGATGCTCAAAAGATGTGCTTTGTGATGCATGCCTACAGTCAAAGATGTTTGTTATGAAATGAATACATACTAAACATACAAAGTGCATACTTTTGTATTTATACTGTTATAGTAGACACAATTGATTGATAACAAATTCTTTATTTTACTGTCAGGGCGATGTTCCGGTAGAGATCCTTATACCGTTGTTAAGCAAAGCAGTTTTGCAAGCATTGTTCATTCAAATCGGCATTACATACTGCGGACCAGTTACATCTCAATGACATGACTAACATCCGTGGCACTGCACATTAAATACATGACTGCATATTATCAGGTACCTGTGAAGATCGGGGTTAGAATTGATGTTAAGCAACCTATGCTTGTCATAAGATGCGACTAACAGGATCGGGTGGCCAGGCTCGCAGGTTTCGATGATGCATGTCATCGTATCCCAATTGCGTAGAATGATGCTCATGACGTCAATCACTGGATTGCCTAGTCCAGATTATTTACAGACCGACGTCATACAGCTGGAATATTGCTGAGTGTGGCGTTAAACAACAAACAAACAGAGTATATTATCAGGAATTTGTTCTGTAGACTCCATGGTATACATCATGGCGTGGATTATATACAACGTAGAAGCACCAGTATTTAAGCAAGGTGTCGCAGGACTGGTGGATGACTAGCTCCAAGTTGATCCAGTGTTTAGTGATAGTATAAACACATCCCTCCCCAAATCGTCATAACTAACCCACCAACAGAAAGCCAGGGGAACTGATGGTCTTGTTGAACAGTCAGTGTCTCCTCACACTTAGGGAACCAAGCTGCCGTACCTATCCCACAGTCTGCTAATAACATTATGCGTGAGAAGTCAAGGGAGGATCCAGCTTTTTAAAAAGGAGGGTTCCAAAATATCAAAATCCTCTCTCAGTCAAGTTTACTACCTACATACGTACGGACCCACCTGACTTTGTTGATTGCATGTCAGCGAAACCGAAGCGTGCCTGGATCGTTGGTGGTTTGTAGGGAGTGAGTGAGTTGGGTTAAATGCCGCTTTTAACAGTATTCCAGTTATATTGCAGCGTGTCAGCTTAGTGTGGGAGGAAAGCCCGAAGTGATGCAGGTCTCAGACGTTTACCACTTCGGTGAAACCAACGAGCAGTGGTATGGTGCTGACAAACCTAGAAACATAATCAGGGCGAACCGGATTCGAAACGAATCATAGGTTTCTGGCGTGGAGGGTTGGATGGTTTCCATTATTTACAGGCCGCCATCATGTAGTGCCACCATATAGTGTAGCATATGGTGCCACCATCCCACAACCATTTCCCCTGAATCCTGAACACCAAATAATTTTTCACTCCGGTCTCATTGCTCACCCCTGAATCTCAATACTATGTGGCAAAATAAAACATATGAAGGATTTATGTAGGTGCACACTTGTTTTCTTTAAATGTTGAATCTGCATACCAAATACGATTATATTTGCTACCAGCGTACCTCACTGCTGAGTACCCAATACCATCTAAATAGATCCCGAATCCCGCATACCAAAAGGGGATTGGCTTCCTCAACAGTGCATTATACATCAATGGTTAATCGATAGCTGGACTATTTGGGCAACTAGGTACAATTCAATGCATCAGTGAGTATGGTTTTATGCTGCTTTTAACAGTATTCCAACAATATCACTGTGGGGCACACCAGAAATGTTTAATGCATTAATTACGACAGAAGCCAGGTAACACATACGTGGTAGTAGATAGAACGTAACTTCGAACCAACATAATGGTAGAGGATTTTTCTAAAAACATATGCCTATAGTATTATCTTCATCGCGGTCAGTCCCTTTTATTTTGCCTCACCTTAGAATTGACCGGCAATACTTTTAAAGTTCAACTTCAGTTCATTCATATGCATGTACAACATTGTTCTTGATACCCAAGAATGCCAGGCTGCCATCAGGATGCACAAACTTCAGAAGCTGCAGGCCCTGACTAAACTCTTCAGGCCCTCATTTAAAAATCCTAAAATAGACACATAAATTTACTGCAGGCCTTAAGGACCCGTACAACTTTGAAAATATGGCCCGACACAAGATCTACCTGCCAAGCGCTTATTTGTAACACTGTTCTGGGGTTTATATCCACCCGGTGACCGAGTGGGGTTTACACTGTCAGTATGGGCATCCCTATCTGAACTTCCCTATCATTCATACAAAAATAAATCATAACAGCTTTAAAAAGAAACACATTAAAAAACACCATGTTCAGTGTTATGTGGTACTTCAGTTTGATAACTTGCTCCAATCCGTCCAAAGCTGATTAATCAAATGAAGGAGTCTCTCTATTTCTCATGCCATACATCAATGACATGACTTTACTGTTATCCTGGGTTTATAACCCTGCTTATACAACTAAGATCTGGAAGTGACAAAAAAGTGGTTCATACATATATATGGTTTTATTCATACATACAAATATTATACATAGTTTCTGTGACACTCTTATAATCTGCTAGCACTAAAGTGTAAGCCTGGATGCCAGGTTTGTTTCATAGTTTCTGTTTCTGGTCACAAAGAACCAGTTTCCATAGAAACAATTGTCATTATTTCAAGAGTGTAGATTGTTCAAAGTTGAAGTTATCATTCCTCTAACTACTACCACAGAACTCATCAAGAATCTCCCTTGGGCTTCTGAATCTTCTCTATATCCTCCAGTGTTTTGTTTGTCCGTGTCTCCCCTGACTGAGAATCCTCCCTGCTGAATATGTCCCCCTGACTGTAGGAGTCGTCCGATGCCTTGCCGTCCTCCTCTGTCTCCGCCTCCACTGTGTGAGGCTCATGGACAGCTAGGTTCTTGTACACTGCCATGGCCTGAAACATTGTTGTGAATGTGTTATACACAGAGAATAGAGGACACAGCATTCTCAAGAGGAAAAGACCGCACTCTTGTACAAAAATAAACATCATTTTGTCAATGGACTGCTGACAATCCAATCTAGTATATACACGAGTGTGACATATGTGACATATGCAGTCATATGAAAAGTTATATTTCACTGGCATAAAAATGAAAACAAGCATTTTCCCTAGTGTGAAAATAAAAACCAGTATTTTCATGGCCCTGGATTGACGGAACTAGTTTTATCCAGAGCTACCACCCTTGAAATTTGTCTCCATGATCGTTGCTTTGTTGTATCCATGTATACCTGCGCTTTCCCACTGGTGCGCCACAAAACTGCCAGAATATATTTTTTAACAGTTTGATGTTCGTCCATATATGAAGAATCAACAATAAATATTGAAAATTATAAAATCATAATTTTGCGTGTTTTTGTTTTTTAAGTTTTCATGAAGAAGTATTTTGTGTCACTGTAGTGACTGAGAATGCAACTTTACCAGCTGTTGACAAATCTTCAAAAAGGGGGCAAATGTATATAATAAACTAGTTCATGCCTTTTTGTCAAATACAACAACTCGTGACAATATGGTCTTCAAACTTCACACGATGAGATATAGATCGTATGTGATAAAAACATGAAATAGTCTCTATGTTACAGGTTTTTTGGTGCGTAAATGTGGTCTGATTCACTAACTTCCCTAGCAGTCTCCTACCCAAGTACTACTCATACTCAGACATCAAACAATCCCCATTTCTGTCAGGCATTATGACAAGCAGGTTGTTTGGGAACATACCTGTACTTTTTGGTCATGTATTACGACAAGCATGGTGTGAGGGAAGTTGTCTACAGTTTGGACCGGAAGAATCGAGGGGAAACATTTGATATCACAGCTTTCCAGGAAGTAAACTCCTTCCAAAACACTTAAGTCATTAAGAAAAACATTTTCCTGAGGCAAGAGTTTCCACTTTATCGAAGTCTTGTCTCCACCCTTACCACATCAAGCCCACTTTCCTGTGCTAAATATATATGATTGGACTACCGCACACATGGGATGTTTCACAAAATCAACATCCACGACTGTACACCTTCATATGAAAGTGATTTACCACCTGTCTTTGTTGACGCAAATATGTCTTTTTCATCTTTTAAACACACGCCCCCCACCAATGACTGCCTATGTTTTTTGTATCAGGGACTGAATGAAATCGTTAATGTTTTCGTCATCAGATCAACTACATGGTTGCCTATGGTAGTCGCCATCTTTGTGAAGTTATACGAGATAAGAACATCGATCTGTTTCATTATAAGGGTCAAAACTCGTGATCTACACGAGGTGCTAGTGTTGAGGCAAGAAAAGTGGCCTTGAAGGGGAGAAACTAGGCTTTGATATAGGCTAGTGGACACGCTAGCCTTGGGAAGATGTAAGATAGAAAGCAAAGCTTAATTCAGATTAAGTAAGATAACTATATTTGTGGAGAAAACAAGTTGTCTTTTCTGATTTTAGTTTATTTCAAAGAATTCAGCTATTAAAAACATTTCAACATACATCCCGCACTTCAGAGAAAGAGTTACCCCCCCTTGGACATCTTTGTTACTGTTAACCTTAGTTGTTTGAAAACAAGGATGTGACTAAAATGTTGTTGACATTTCAAGTGTTCTGCTGAGACTTACTATTCCATGCTGCATTTAATTGGGTAAAGATTGTGGTGATCTCAATATTACCTGTGCTACAACATTGCTGACATCGCCACTGTTAGAAGGCAGGATCAGTGTGTTGCCCCGCTTCGCCAGGTTACTGAAGGCAGCCACGTACTGCTCCGCGATGTTGTAGGATACTGCATTAATACCTTGCTGCAAGAACAATAAATACAAAATGTCAATTGTCTGTATTTCGGATTGATAAAACTGACCAATACAATTCAGACTTTCACAAGCAAGATAGGATTTTCATATATCTTAAGTAAATGCAGCATTTGTAAATTCTTAACTGATTTCCCTCAATGACATTACAAAAGTAGGATGTATTCCAAGTTTCCACATCTTGGTGATTCATCTTTGAACATTCCACCTACCTTTTGAGTGAGAGCACTTGCCACAACGCTGACTGAGCGGGCTTTAGCCTGAGCCTTTGCTATCAGGGCCTCAGCCTCACCTGTGAGGGGACAGATACTGGCCGTCATTCAACATATTTTACTCTTTGTACTTTACATGGAGGTCTACATATACAACATAATTGTCAGTGTAACCTCTACAAGTGGAATGTTTGTAACCTGTAACCTCCATGTGTCGTTATCTCACCTGTGGCCTGGTTGATCTGCTCAGTCTTGTTGGCCTCCGAGTTTAGGATCCTGGACTGCTTCTTGCCCTCTGCCACATTGATCTCCGCCTCTCGAATACCTGCAACATGGTTATCAGGTCAACAACCAGATCATGTACAGGACCTGGTGAACACACATCAACAACCAGATCATGTACAGGACCTGGGGAACACACATCAACAACCAGATCATGTACAGGACCCGGGGAACACACATCAACAACCAGATCATGTACAGGACCCGGGGAACACACATCAACAACCAGATCATGTACAGGACCCGGGGAACACACATCAACAACCAGATCATGTACAGGGCCCGGGGAACACACATCAACAACCAGATCATGTACAGGACCCGGGGAACACACATCAACAACCAGATCATGTACAGGACCTGGGGAACACACATCAACAACCAGATCATGTACAGGACCCGGGGAACACACATCAACACCCAGATCATGTACAGGAACCGGGGAACACACATCAACAACCAGATCATGTACAGGACCTGGGGAACACACATCAACAACCAGATCATCTAAAGGACCTGGGGAACACACATCAACAACCAGATCATGTACAGGACCTGGGGAACACACATCAACAACCAGATCATGTACAGGAACCGGGGAACACACATCAACAACCAGATCAAGTACAGGAACCGGGGAACACACATCAACAACCAGATCAAGTACAGGAACCGGGGAACACACATCAACAACCAGATCAAGTACAGGAACCGGGGAACACACATCAACAACCAGATCATGTACAGGACCCGGGGAACACACATCAACAACCAGATCATGTACAGGACCTGGGGAACACACATCAACAACCAGATCATGTACAGGACCTGGGGAACACACATCAACAACCAGATCATCTAAAGGACCTGGGGAACACACATCAACAACCAGATCAAGTACAGGAACCGGGGAACACACATCAACAACCAGATCATGTACAGGACCTGGGGAACACACATCAACAACCAGATCATCTACAGGACCCGGGGAACACACATCAACAACCAGATCATGTACAGGACCCGGGGAACACACATCAACAACCAGATCATGTACAGGACCTGGGGAACACACATCAACAACCAGATCATGTACAGGACCTGGGGAACACACATCAACAACCAGATCATGTACAGGACCCGGGGAACACACATCAACAACCAGATCATGTACAGGACCCGGGGAACACACATCAACAACCAGATCATGTACAGGACCCGGGGAACACACATCAACAACCAGATCATGTACAGGGCCCGGGGAACACACATCAACAACCAAATCATGTACAGGACCCGGGGAACACACATCGACAACCAGATCATCTAAAGGACCTGGGGAACACACATCAACAACCAGATCATGTACAGGACCCGGGGAACACACATCAACAACCAGATCATGTACAGGACCCGGGGAACACACATCAACAACCAGATCATGTACAGGACCTGGGGAACACACATCAACAACCAGATCATGTACAGGACCCGGGGAACACACATCAACAACAAGATCATGTACAGGACCTGGGGAACACACATCAACAACCAGATCATGTACAGGACCTGGGGAACACACATCAACAACCAGATCATGTACAGGACCCGGGGAACACACATCAACACCCAGATCATGTACAGGACCCGGGGAACACACATCAACAACCAGATCATCTACAGGACCCGGGGAACACACATCAACAACCAGATCATGTACAGGACATGGTGAACACACATCAACAACCAGATCATGTACAGGACCCGGGGAACACACATCAACAACCAGATCATGTACAGGACCCGGGGAACACACATCAACAACCAGATCATGTACAGGACCCGGAGAACACACATCAACAACCAGATCATGTACAGGGCCCGGGGAACACATATCAACAACCAGATCATGTACAGGACCCGGGGAACACACATCAACAACCAGATCATGTACAGGACCCGGGGAACACACATCAACAACCAGATCATGTACAGGACCCGGGGAACACACATCAACAACCAGATCATGTACAGGGCCCGGGGAACACATATCAACAACCAGATCATGTACAGGACCCGGGGAACACACATCAACAACCAGATCATGTACAGGACCCGGGGAACACACATCAACAACCAGATCATGTACAGGACCCGGGGAACACACATCAACAACCAGATCATGTACAGGACCCGGGGAACACACATCAACAACCAGATCATGTACAGGGCCCGTGGAACACACATCAACAACCAGATCATCTAAAGGACCCGGGGAACACACATCAACAACCAGATCAAGTACAGGACCCGGGGAACACACATCAACAACCAGATCATGTACAGGACCCGGGGAACACACATCAACAACCAGATCATGTACGGGCCCGTGGAACACACATCAACAACCAGATCATGTACAGGACCTGGGGAACACACATCAACAACCAGATCATGTACAGGACCCGGGGAACACACATCAACAACCAGATCATGTACAGGACCCGGGAAAAACACATCAACAACCAGATCATGTACAGGACCCGGGGAACACACATCAACAACAAGATCTTGTACAGGACCCGGGGAACACATATCAACAACCAGATCATGTACAGGACCTGGGGAACACACATCAACAACCAGATCATGTACAGGACCCGGGGAACACACATCAACAACCAGATCATCTAAAGGACCTGGGGAACACACATCAACAACAAGATCATGTACAGGACCCGGGGAACACACATCAACAACAAGATCTTGTACAGGACCTCGGGAACACATATCAACAACCAGATCATCTACAGGACCCGGGGAACACACATCAACAACCAGATCATGTACAGGAACCGGGGAACACATTTTAACAACCAGATATGTATAGGACCCGGGAAAAACACATCAACAACCAGATCATGTACAGGACCCGGGGAACACACATCAACAACAAGATCTTGTACAGGACCCGGGGAACACACATCAACAACCAGATCATCTACAGGACCTGGGGAACACACATCAACAACCAGATCATGTACAGGAACTGGGGAACACACATCAACAACCAGATCATGTACAGGACCCGGGGAACACACATCAACACCCAGATCATGTACAGGACCCGGGGAACACATATCAACAACCAGATCATCTACAGGACCCGGGGAACACACATCAACAACCAGATCATGTACAGGAACCGGGGAACACATTTTAACAACCAGATATGTATAGGACCCGGGGAACACACATCAACAACCAGATCATGTACAGGGCCTGGGGAACACACATCAACAACCAGATCATGTACAGGACCCGGGGAACACACATCAACAACCAAATCATGTACAGGACCCGGGGAACACACATCAACAACCAGATCATGTACAGGGCCCGGGGAACACACATCAATAACCAAATCATGTACAGGACCCGGGGAACACACATCGACAACCAGATCATCTAAAGGACCTGGGGAACACACATCAACAACCAGATCATGTACAGGGCCCGGGGAACACATATCAACAACCAGATCATGTACAGGACCCGGGGAACACACATCAACAACCAGATCATGTACAGGACCCGGGGAACACACATCAACAACCAGATCATGTACAGGACCCGGGGAACACACATCAACAACCAGATCATGTACAGGGCCCGGGGAACACATATCAACAACCAGATCATGTACAGGACCCGGGGAACACACATCAACAACCAGATCATGTACAGGACCCGGGGAACACACATCAACAACCAGATCATGTACAGGACCTGGGGAACACACATCAACAACCAGATCATCTACAGGACCCGGGGAACACACATCAACAACCAGATCATGTACAGGACCTGGGGAACACACATCAACAACCAGATCATGTACAGGACCCGGGGAACACACATCAACAACCAGATCATGTACAGGGCCCGTGGAACACACATCAACAACCAGATCATGTACAGGACCCGGGGAACACACATCAACAACCAGATCATGTACAGGAACTGAACTTACCTTCAGATTCCAAGATGGCTGCCCTTTTCTTTCTCTCAGCTTCAACCTGCATTTGCATAGCTTCCTGAACTCGGGATGGCAGCTTGATGTCCCCTGCAAACACAACAACACTGACGTTTATAAAGGTGGAGGTAAATCATAAGACAATACCAAACAGGCAATCCAATACATTCCTGTCATCATGGCCATGATGCATAATGGCAATTACATCATTTCTTTTTTGCAAAATAACAAATGAAGCATTTACAAATTATGATCATGATTATTCATGTATTACATTACCATAATCCCATTTCTGGTATTCCCTGGCCGTGATATTGCTAAAAGCTGTGTTAAACCATACTCACTCACTTACACATATGGGGGAAGATAACAACCAAATTTGTAGTACGGCTCATCGTCAATAACGCCCACCAATTATTTGGACCCCATTGGTAGCGTTGTAGCGAGGGACCACTGTAGTAATACTTCTGATAATTAGGCTTTAGATTTGCTGATGCAATTATTTGAGAATATGATAAGCTGAAACTCTGTCTTATAAGAAATAATGTGTCCAGTTTTGAAACCAATTCAATTGGTATACATTACAAGAAATTAGAATTACAAACTCTGTAACAGTTGATTATAGCCTGGTAACTTAATGGTATGATGTGTTTGTCCAGCTTTGAGAAACTTAGGGCCCATTCCTGATAGAAACCTAACCCTAATGATAATCATGTCACACAATAAAAGATATAGGTTTCTTCACAAAACACCACAGCAGAAACCCCCCAGGAAACTTTTTAAATACTGCTAACACTGGTAGTTTAGCAATACCATGCATACATGGTATAAATTTCAGCTCAGGCCCTCGTTCCACTAAGTGATCGTAGCTCCAAGGTGGTCGTAACACTTCCTATACAGACTGTTGTAACACTACAATTGCTTTTTGTAGAATGGGGCCCTGACACATGCCTGAACTTGGATACGAATATGATTTCTGAGTGTGTATTTTACAACGTACAGGCACCCTGCAAAGTAACTACAATGACTCAAAAAGTGTCCTTGAAGTTCTTAATCCTGCAAATAATATGATATTAGTCAAGATTTCAGAAGAGCAAAGTCCATTATTCTGTAAAATAATGATGCAATAATTCTAATATTAAATATGGATTTCTCATACGGATTTAGCTTAGATACCCTACAAACTTAGAATGACTTACTGATTTCATACCGCATACATGTGATGCCCCAAGCCTCGGAAGCCTTGTTCAGTGCATCTACAATAATAACACATCATCAGTAACGAAAAATACACAGTAACAACTTAACACATCTGGGGCCTGTTCCACAAAGCAATCTTAGTGCTATGATTGTCGTAAGCCTATGTTAAAGTATGGGAGTTACGATCATCTTAGCGCTAAGATCATTTTGTGGAACGGGGGCCCAGAGCATTTAGTTTATGACCCATGGGTTAACATGGTTTAGACATGGGACAAATTTCTGTAACTGAGACCATTTGATGCTAAAATGGGAACACTGTGATGTTTGTGGTAAAACATCAACACTCATCACTGTCTCCTGCCAATCTGCATGGATGATTTGCTGGTGAGTTGTGATGCAGACAGTGTCCGAAATAACTGCCTGTCCATGGCTGGTAACTTTTCATGAAATTTTCCTCTACCGGCCCGACTGTCTGACAGATAATTTTAAGCCAACTTATACAGCATCTAATACTGATAGTAATTTGTTCACTAAAAGTTCAAAATGCCCCACACGTCTTGAGTATTGTCACTGAACATGTTCATCAACATTTCTGAAAATCATGTAAGACCTAACGGTGGTGCATCACTCCCTAGTTGAATTGTGATGTGCTGTCTGACAGTGGGAGCTTACCATTTACACCAAGTTTGTCACATGCAGTCAGAAACAACCTTTTTTTTATCTTTTGCAAAGATTTATCATGCTGATTAACATGTTCAAGAGAAAGTATCTTAAGGTGAAAGCTTCCACAGTTACTATACTAAATCTCATTTTAGTGTACTGTCTTGTTAAAAAGACACTGGCACGATAAAGAGCTCTTTCTGAGTCATATGGTCAGCTGTTTGTTTAAAATTAGTAAAATCTAAATATTTTTTACATTTGTATACTTATCCTGCATTACTCCGTATTGCATTTACTGCTGTCTTTGACAGAGAGACAAACTGTGTGAGATCCAGCTGCTGAAGAAAGTTGTCCCAACCAGCCCAGGAGGCAGCGCCCTCTCACAGTCGGCACGTGACCCGGAAGTCATGACGTCACACCAAAAGACATAACTGCTTTAAACATAACATCTGAAACTTCGTGGGGAGGTAGCGTAGCGAAAGGGAGGGCACTTAGACTTCGTAATGCAGGATAAGTATACAAATGTAAAAAATATTTAGATTTTACTAAATTTTTTAACTTATCCTGCATTACTCTGTATTGCATCTTTATCAGACGGCATGGCCGGTGGGCATACCTGCAGATGTGAACCATATTAAACCCTCGTCAAGGTCCGATGAATCCGCACCGCATACAAGTGATGACCGGAACATCTACGACCATTCCTGTCTTCAGGAAACAACAGTCGATGCAAAAACGAAACGCCCGAATAGGTAACCGAAATACAATGAAGCGTGTAGCCAAAATATATAACCTACCGAAGAGCGAAAGCGAAACGCAGTAGAGCCCTCTAATCTGAGGCGATAAACACCAGAGAGTTCGACGGGCCCCGCTCGGGGAATCGAAGAATCAGCGGCGTCGGCGGCAAAATCTACGACCAATCCCAAGAGCGAATGCGAAACACAGGAGAGCCCTCTAGGCTGGAGGCAAGGAACACCGGTGAGGTCGACGGGCACCGCTCAGGTATCAGAGAAGCAGCGGCGTTGGCGTCGACGCCGGCGCCGGTGTCCACATCAACTACCATTCATGTCGTCAGGAAATGAGAGTTGATGCAAAAAGTAAAACCCGGATAGGTGACAGCAATAGAATGAGTCGGGTAACCCAAAACTAAAACTGACCTAAGAGCGAATGCGGAACGCAAGAGAGCCGTCTCGTCTGGGGTGATAAACACCAGAGAGGTCGACGGGCCCCGCTCAGGATATCGGAGAATCAGTGGCGTCGGAGATAGATGACCTGTTGGGCTACAACCAGGGACCAAAACTGTGAACGCCGGCGACAACTTTCAAGGCTACATCACGGAAGTAGTGGTTGGTGAAGGCGGTGTCCGATCGCCACGAACATGCTTCCCTGAACGACTGGATGGAACAGTATACCGTGAAGAACCAGTGTAAATACGATCGCCCTGATCTCATTTTATTTCAGGTGATAGCCTTTGGGGGGAGGGTCCAATCCGGCGGCTCATAAGCTTTAAGGATGACCGCCCGGAGCCACAGGGAAAAGTATTCCGGCTGACCAACGACTGCGACGAAGGGGAGACCGGCAGAAAAAGGTGTTTCCTAGACTTGCGGCAGTCTTTAGATCGTAGAATAACCTTCAGTGCCCTTACTGGGCATAATGACGCTCATCCTCATCCTCTGCTGCCACACTGGACGAGGGGGGAGGGGACAAGGAATGATCTATCAGGCTGTCCTGGGAGTTGAGTCTTTACGCTGACGTCCCAGTACGGTCCATGATGAACGGCGCGCTGGGTACCGCATTCGAACCGGGCACGGGAGACGTCGAGGGCGTGCTGTACATGGACTCGAGCGGCAGTAGTCAAAACCAGTAGAAACACCCGTCTTCTACTTAAGGTCGTAGAAGGAAGACGAGGGGAGTGGTTCGAAGGGCGTTGAAGACCACATTCAGATCCAACGCAGGCGGTCCGAACTTGGCCTTCAGGTCTTCAAGACTGAACAAGCGCAGCCAGGCCCGTAGGTCGGGAATTTTCGTCTTTCTCTGCAGGTGTGTCAGGCGTGCATAAGGTTGGACCACACCGAAAGTTCCAGGGGTTGTCTCTGGCTATGTTTCGGAGGTCGATAACCCAACTTCTGGCTGACCAATAAGGCGAGACCAAAGTCAATGGCAGGGGTCGAGTGGCCTGGATCTCTGAAGAACCGTGGGAGGGAGAACCGGAGTCAGAAAAGCGTACGCTCGTAATCCTTCTCAGGAACGATGGAAGGCTTCGACTGCCACAGCGGTCGTATCCAGCACAGATGGAATGGAAGACGACAGCTGGCCACATTCAGATATGAGGCAAACAGATCTAGGGTTGGGGTGTTTCACATAGTCTGGCCCGAGGCGCCTTTAAAGCCGAAGATGGTGATTCTCGGGGGCGCCGGTCGAGTTTGTAGTGCCGGGAGAGGGGCGAGTACTCTGGGTCCGCAAACACCACACTACGGTGACGTCGTCAGTGGACACGATCAACAGGGCGTGACCGAGAATGCACTGTCAGCAAGTGACGTCCTGGATAAGCCTTTATCTCGAGGCTGTTGCTGTTGCTGTCAATGAACTGTGTGAGAGACGATCAAGTGGTGTACCCGAGTTTTGCGATAAAACACAGAACCCCATGGGTGTCGTGGAAAACCCGGGGAGCGCCGAGGAAGAGTCTCTTTCAGGAACGCTGGCGCTAGGGTAGGGTAGAACAGCGTTGATGTCTGCGATGTCGACGAAGTAAACTCTTTGTAAGTGGATGTCGTCGTCGAATCTGATACAGACGCTTTTCACATGACGCTCTGTTTCGATGGAAACCCGCAGGTCATCTCTCCGGAATCATAGCGCTTTAAACGACGGGATTATGGATAACGTCTCAGTAGGCAAGTTGAATCAGACCAACTGTCTATTGGTTGAGTGAGTGAGTATGGTTTTACGCCGCTTTTAGCAATATTCCAGCAATATCACGGCGGGGGACACCAGAAATGGGCTTCACACATTGTACCCATGTCGGGAATCGAACCCGGGTCGTCGGCGTGACGAGCGAACGCTTTAACCACTAGGCTACCAGACCGCCCCGTCTATTGGTTGAAATGATTCTACCCAGGAAGTAGAACGATAGTCACGATCCCGAAGACCGACGGGAGAGTAGCGACAGAAGCGGCGACAGTTGTTTCACCATGCTTCTCCGTGTGACGAGTTATGAGATGGCAGCAAGAGAAGAGGGCAGTGGCGCCGGGGAGGCGATTGCCGATGGTGCCCCTTAAGCCGCAGTAGAAGATCGGATAGTCGGCTCGTTGATCTGAGCTTGATAAAGCTTGTTGATCTGGGCGCCGGAGGTCATCTTAGGCGCCTGATATATCATAGGCGCTTCTTCCGTAACTCTTGAGGCGCCGGAGTAGTCAGAGGCGCCAGAGACATTAGGGCCGTCGAAGATCTTGAGATCAAAGACCTCAGAGGCGCCGGGAGCGCGGAAGACATCAGAGGATGCGGAGGCGCCGGAGCGCGGAGACATCAGAGGCGCCACGACATCGGAGGCGCTGAGACATCAGAGGCGCCGGGTCATCGGAGGCGCCGAGACATCAGAGGCGCCGGGAGCGCCGGGAGCGCCGGGAGCGCCGGAGGCACCGGGACATCAGAGGCGCCGGGAGCGCCGGGACATCAGAGGCTCCGGGAGCGCCGGGAGCGCCGGGAGCGCAGGGACATCAGAGGCGCTGAGACATCGGAGGCGACGGGGGCGCCGAGACATCGGCGGCACCGGAGACATCAGCGTTGACGGTGTTGGATACCGTGAACGGTCGTATGTCGTGCCAGGGGAGGCAGACTCTACGTTAGGAGCGCTGGAGCTGCCGGTGGAGTAGGAGACCGTGAACGGTCGTATGTCGTGCCATGGGAGGCAGACTCTACGTTGGGAGCGCTGGAGCCGCCGGTGGAGTAGGAGACCGTGAACGGTCGTATGTCGTGCCATGGGAGGCAGACTCTACGTTGGGAGCCGCCGTGAAGCTCCGCTGAGCGCTGCTGCCGTCAACATAGGTAGGGGTCGACGAGCACGTTGAGCGAGGTGTGTCCTGGATACTCGCATGAGCTGAAGGATCACAGCGACGAATGACTGCAACATCGGCACTGCCTTGTGAAAGTACAGGGCGTCGTACAATCACGGCAGAAAGGGGCGGCCCCGACCAGATTTGTTCCCGCGGCAACAAGTGCAGCGAGGCAGAAAATCTGGAATTTAAGCAAAACATAACTATGTGGCAAAGCCACAAAGTGCGGGAAGCATAATGTGATTCAGAAACTTTGTATTTCAATGAAGTTTATGAGATCAAACAATGACGCTAAAAGGTAGAGAAAAAGCATAGCTTTAAGCAAACACATAACCATGTGGCCAATCACAAAGTATGGGAAGCATAATGTGATTCAGAAACTTTGTATTTCAATGAAGTTTATGAGATCAAACAATGACGCTAAAAGGTAGCGAAAAAGCATAGCTTTAAGCAAACACATAACCATGTGGCCAATCACAAAGTATGGGAAGCATAATGTGATTCAGAAACTTTGTATTTCAATGAAGTTTATGAGATCAAACAATGACGCTAAAAGGTAGCGAAAAAGCATAGCTTTAAGCAAACACATAACCATGTGGCCAATCACAAAGTATGGGAAGCATAATGTGATTCAGAAACTTTGTATTTCAATGAAGTTTATGAGATCAAACAATGACGCTAAAAGGTAGCGAAAAAGCATAGCTTTAAGCAAACACATAACCATGTGGCCAATCACAAAGTATGGGAAGCATAATGTGATTCAGAAACTTTGTATTTCAATGAAGTTTATGAGATCAAACAATGACGCTAAAAGGTAGCGAAAAAGCATAGCTTTAAGCAAACACATAACCATGTGGCCAATCACAAAGTATGGGAAGCATAATGTGATTCAGAAACTTTGTATTTCAATGAAGTTTATGAGATCAAACAATGACGCTAAAAGGTAGCGAAAAAGCATAGCTTTAAGCAAACACATAACCATGTGGCCAATCACAAAGTATGGGAAGCATAATGTGATTCAGAAACTTTGTATTTCAATGAAGTTTATGAGATCAAACAATGACGCTAAAAGGTAGCGAAAAAGCATAGCTTTAAGCAAACACATAACCATGTGGCCAATCACAAAGTATGGGAAGCATAATGTGATTCAGAAACTTTGTATTTCAATGAAGTTTATGAGATCAAACAATGACGCTAAAAGGTAGCGAAAAAGCATAGCTTTAAGCAAACACATAACCATGTGGCCAATCACAAAGTATGGGAAGCATAAAGTAACTCAAAAAACAGTATATTTTATTAAAGTTTATGAGATAAACAAGTACGCTAAAAGGTAGCGAAAAGGCAAATCCTTAAGCAAACACGTAACCATGTGGCAAAACCACAGAGTACGGGAGACATAATGTAACTCAAAAACTTCGTATTATATTGAAGTTTATGAGAAAAAACAATTACGCTGAGAGGTAGCGAAAAGGCAAGGCTTTAAGCACACCAAAACAACATACATAAATGTAATGTATTACCCAAGCCAAAGAGAGAATTCAAAACGCAGAACACGACATTACGTGGCCACGTGGTGAATGGCCAAAATGGCGGGAAAGAAAACAAAATGGCGGGAACAACATTGCGCCCGTAAATTACTGTGACGTGAGCCACAGACGAGCGATAAACGTTACAATTTACGAATGGGAAGACCCTAAGGTCACGGCCCATAACAGGTAACAATGTAGCAGCATATAATGAATGTAGAAACACGCAAAATATAAAAAACAAGTAATAAGCTTTAATTTCCACAAGGGATACAAAGTACGTCCGTCCGTGGAGGTGACAAAGCAGTTATGTCTTTTGGTGTGACGTCATGACTTCCGGGTCACGTGCCGACTGTGAGAGGGCGCTGCCTCCTGGGCTGGTTGGGACAACTTTCTTCAGCAGCTGGATCTCACACAGTTCGTCTCTCTGTCAAAGACAGCAGTAAATGCAATACAGAGTAATGCAGGATAAGTTAAAAAATGAAAACTATATGATCCTGACCATGTGAAAATGACAAAGATACTATAGTAATGAATGACATACCGACTATGAGCACATTGAGAGATTCTCTCTCCCTGAACACTGTGTCCAGAGCAATCTTCCCTATCTCGGATCTCATGGTGGTCTGTGCTAGCTGTGTGATGGCATACTCAGGATCTTCCACTCCATAGCTGGCCTGGAAGTGACACAAGAACCATGTACACATACATTACACCAACTGGCAAGACGTAACTCACTGACTCATCAGTCACGCCACAACACGGCAGCTCTATGTGGACATACTTTGGATGGTTTATCAGTACCATGCGTACTGAATGTTTCAAGTGACTCAACCAGAACATAAACATCATAAATGATCTAAATTGATATCAGTCCACATTTGCCTAATTCTGGATTTGAGGACTGGTTGTGAAGATTAAAAAACTTACCTTATATGGTTCAGTGACTCTCAGATACAACACAGCATCCATTGTCAGAGTAACATTGTCTGAAATGACGAAGGTAACAACTGACGACCACAAACAATGGTAAACACGGTAAAACACCAAAGATGCTTACTATTAAATATGCTGAAAATTAAACTACCGTAGTAAAACACAGCAAACACTTACAGACAATAACTTGAAGTATCTAGAAAGTGCACAAATGCCGAATCAACATGGCAACCAACACTATCCTAATGAAAACATTGAATTACAACAATATGATCATTTCTCTTTTCATGGTGATGATATGGCTGTAGCTGTAGTTTGTAAATGTTGATTTACCTCCCCTAAATGGCTATTACCTAGTGTTATGGCAGCTTGGTGAGGAACATCAATAGCTATTTCCTTGAGGCTCTGTACATACTTAATTGAATCCACGACTGGTAAAATGAAGTTTAAACCCTGAAATGAGGAAAGTAAATGCTAGAATTTATGTATGAATAATGTAATGCTTTTCTACCTAACTGACACTACACAGTGCTTTAGATCCCTACGTTATACAAACAGACAGTACTGGAACGAAGAGACAGTTTAAACAGACTACAGCCTGTGCCCCGGCATCCAGGAGTTATCCCCCTTGGCCCCTACTCCCTCATATTTATCACTGTATGACAGCAGGCACAGCGTAGACAGTGGTGCCTGAACAGAGCAGAGGGTGAGTTCGACGTAACAGGCAGGTCATGAAACTGCTGATCAGGTTGACCCGGAAGTTGATTTTTGGTGACACATTCCCAAGAAAGAGCAAGGTGAACCAGGCCGTGAGGTCGCTGGTTGAACCTGACCTGGGTGACAACCACGGTATGAAACTCACTAACCCTGGCCTCCTTGGCAATCACAAGGAAAAGGCAAGTCTTCATTGGGAGATCTTCATACGCGGCAGACGCAAGCAGTTCATACGGGGCCTGGAGTAAGTCACGTAGAATAACATTGAGATCCCAAGCTGGAGGACGGAACTAAGTCTGATGTCTACCTCCCAAGCAGCCGTGTCCGGGACAGGAGACACTTACAAAGGCTATTTGTGGTTGCTGACTGTGGAGAAAAGACAGACATTGGAAGTCCACAGGTGGTCGCACAAGAACATGAAGGCCTCCAGGAGGAGCATCCACTCTGTTGGGGACGGACGATCTGGTCCGGACAGGGAGTCTGCTAACAAGTTGTGACATCACGGAACGTGACGGGGCCCGGATCAGAAGAGGGAGTCCCTTGGTCAGATGAAACAGTCCTGGGAATCAATGCACTTGGGTTCAGAGGTGCTGACGAGGGAGGTGCTATCAATGGGAGGCAAGACGTTAGCACAGTCCATAGAGTAGACGGGTAATGCTCCAGAATTCTGAATAGATGGCTGAACAGGAAGGGCCTTAATGGCAGCATCCAGTGATCGGGCCAAAATGTTGTTCCGACATCCAAGTGGCTGTGATTAGACAGATGAGGCGAAGGTATGGCCTGGCGACAGGACGGCGACTGATGGCAATGTCCCGGCGATAACTGGCGACAGCGGTTGTGAAACGCATCTGGGAAGTCATCAGGTGTAAAAGATCTACTTGTGCAGGGGGGTGAGGAAGACCCGAAGGAACCGTCAGCAACGAAGAGGAAGTCTCCGAAGTCATAGCAGGAGGTGGAGGGGCCGGCTCTGATGGTAGGGGAGAAGACAGTAACGGAGGAGAAGGGCCTGGCATCTTCTTCTGTTTCGCAAGTTGTTTCAAGTGCTTAACAAGAGCCTTTTTGAAAGATGCAAATTCTTGACATAAGAGAGCAAACAGAGCATTGATTGTCAAAAGAACATGCAGGGTGGCAGTTAGGGCAAATATGATGTGGGTATTTCCCCGACTTGGGACGTTTACACAAAGAACAATTCATAGAATACATTCTGCTAAAAATGTAATACATATCAAGTAAAACACATTACTGGAAAACAGGAGAACCAAGCACTCAAACACAACCATAATGTGGAGAGTGGCTGGTAGTGAAACCAAAAACATACAAGAGCTGGCTGAAAAGTTCTAAGCCTAACTAAGACCCGTACCAAGTTGATGGTTTTCATTTATTTCTCCACATAGTCCCCTTCCAGGTTTACACACTTTTGCCAGCGATGCTGCAAGGCCCGGATGCCGGTCTAGAAGAAATTTTCTTCAGCCAGCCTTAAAAAGTCATTCACAGCGGAAATGACGTCATCATTACTAGGAAAATGGCGACCGGCTAGTTCCTTTTTCGTTTTGGGAAACAGGTGGAAGTCTGACGGGGCCAAATCGGGTGAATAAGGGGGATGGTCAATGCGTTCGAAGCCACAATCATGGATCGCTGACATGGCAACCACCAGTTTCTGAACAGGAGCATTGTCATGGTGGAACAGGACTCCTTTAGTGAGCATTCCCCATCGCTCAGCTTTGATAGCTTCACGCAACTGTCTAAGTAGGTCAGCATAATATCTTCCATTGATAGTCTGGCCTTTTTCAAGATAGTCAATCAGCAGAATACCCTTGGAATCCCAAAAGACTGAAGCCATCACCTTTCCAGCAGAAGGAACCGACTTGGCTTTTTGGAGGGCTGGTGATTCCGGATGCTTCCATTATTTAGACTGAATTTTGGTTTCTGGTTGAAAGTGATGAATCCAGGTCTCATCCATGGTTACTAATCAGGCCAAAAAATCATCGGGATCTGCTTCAAAACGGCATAAATTGTCACGGGACGTCAGGAATCTGACACATTTCTGATCCGCTGTCAAGAGCTTTGGCACCCATCTTGCAGAAACTTTTGTCATTCCCAACTTGTTGGTGATAATGTGCTCAACCCTCTCATGAGAGATGCCCACTGGCAATATGTCGAGTGGTCAATTGTTGATCAGCCATCACCATGTCATGCACCCGGGTAATGGTTGCTGTTGAAGGCCTTCCTGGACGCGGGTCATCGTCAAGGCTCTCTCTGCCACGCTTGAATTCCGCAGCCCACTTCCTTACAGTGGAAAAGGAAGGGGCATCATCCCCTAAAGTGGAGACCATGTCAGCATGTTTCTGTGTTGGAGTTAGCCCTTTCAGTTGCAGGTACTTGATGACTGCCCTATAGCCAGTTTTGTCCATTTCTGGTGATTTCAATGGGTAGGTTCACAAGATGGTCAGGTACAAAGACAATAATAACACTACAGTTGCAGTTCTTATGTCTATGATTCATTAAATGATTGTACTTGTTGGTGGCAAAAGTTTGTTTCAATCCGATTGAGATATCCCACTTAGGCTTAGGACTTTTCAGCCAGCCCTCGTATTTTGCCTAATTAATAGGAAATATGTCAACAGAAATCCATTATCCTTAAAATATATGAGAGATAGTTGAGAAAACTATTGCAAAAACTACATTAATCTGCTAACCTCATAAACGTGAGAGGCACGAAAATAGTGCTAAGTTATGTGACAATGAACAAAAGTCATAGACTGAAGACAAAACAAGTTCCAATAATGTGTCTGTCGGCAAGGCAGACAGAGAAGAATATGAGGGAGTAGGGGTCAAGGGGGATAACTTGTGGATGCCAGGGCACTGGCTATAGTCTGTTTCAACTGTCTCTCCATTCCAGTACTGTCGGTAGGGAAGCTAAAGCACTGTGTGGTGTCAGCTAAGGTATAACATGTAGTTTATTTAACTACACACTGGCATAACTTTGTCCAGTTTTCCTGATAATTATTGGACTTACAGATGTTCCCAAATACACTGGAGGATCAGTGGTTGGAATATAAAATAAGGTAATAAAAACATGATTCCTGAGTCATTGTCAAATGGTGAAATAAAGAGAAAATGGAAATTTGTTTTGAAAAAATGACGATTCAAAGGGTTAAATCGGTACTAGTTATGATCTTCATTTCATAGTAAATTATGCATGACATATTGCTACATACATTTCTATCCTGAGAATGACAATATATCACACTGCTGTGAATAACAATGTTATCAAACTCCTACCTTGCCTGTGCTTCCTGGATAACATCATGAAACTGTAGCATAGCCATTTGTTCATGTTGTCAGCATGCTTAATCATGTTAATAAAACAATTTCCAAATAAAACTGAAATGGTTTACCGGTTGTAGTTTTCGTTGATATTTCCCAAATCTTTCAATGATCCATGCTTCTTGTTGTGGTACAAACAAGATAACCGTATTCCATGGAAGACTAGACCTGAAACGTGCTTGTTGACGAGTGTGGCGTATGACTTGCTGAAAAAACAATAAACATAATAAACATGACTAAAATAATGAATATGCATGCAATGCATTATTCAGATTCCGACATTATTAACATAATTAAGAATGTTCTGCCCTCAAGGCTAACCTTGAAGCATGACCATGATGACGGCACCTCGTTTTGATCTTGTCAGTGAGTGAGTATGGTTTTACCCCCCTTTTTAGTTTTAGCAACATTCCAGCAATATCACAACAGAATTTACATGAATCTATCCAGAGGGAACATTACAAGCAGCCAACAAGAGATCAGGTAAGGCTGGAGTGTTTAGTAAACTGGACCTATCACCAGGGATCTGGCAGCTGAAAACTGAATGAGTAGAGCTTGCTTTTCATTACATTCAATACACCTTTTAGATTGTACATATATACCTGAGATTACCTTCCCAGATAGCACACCATCACCTGCCCACCACCATCCCAATCATCAGCCCACCTTCAGGCCGATGAAGTTTTGCCCATCGGATTGTCATCGGCCTGACGTCATATACAATTATTGGCCCAGTATCGGCCCAACATCGGCAATTATTATCAGCTCAGCATCGGATTTACAATGACTGCTTGGACGTTTAGTATTTTTGCCATTCACTATACTAGATGACAATTCTTGATTTTCTTCCAACTAAATGCACAAATTATGAAACAAAAAGTCAACAACTTGAAATCATAACTTAGAATTACATAACACCTTTGCAATACTGGTAACCAATATCTTAAAAAATAGTCCAAAACATCCAAATTGGTTTTCTAACTTTTCATCAGTTCATTAGTTTCTTCATCAGACATTGCCTAAATCTCAGGTAGGTCCCAATTTCTAAAGGCTGATGTTCTGTAGAGTAATTTGCCAACAGCAGTCAATACTGATAACATCTTATTATTTCATGTAAATTATGCCACAACAGAACTTTTCCTGGTGTAGTGTTAGGGCACATAAAACTAAACATTTCCAAAGCTTTGGCTCTGATATTAAAGTTATGAAGAGTAAAAGAAAAATTAAAATAATAATTAAATTTTAAAAAGATAATCATTTTAGACCATGGTTAATATTTACACAAGACCTTGAAAACCAAGAAAATCAATTTGAAGTAATATAAATACATCTCCCAGTACGAAACAATAGAACTGCTTACTGTACGTATGTCTTTGAACCCCAATACATGTGTTATTAATACATATAAAAACTGATGTAGGTGTGCTAGCTGGGCTTTTGGCATATCTAGTGCACAAGAGGTCAACCACAGCTGTTTGAAAGTATCCCTGGAGTTGACACTAGTGTGAATGATAAGAACCAGTGATGCAGGGCATGAAAGCAGATGTTCTAGAAAAGTGTTGGCTTGAAGCTCAACAAAAAGAGGAATGTGAGTTTGGTGTATCTGAACTTAAATTCCAGGGTGACAGGGTACCTAAAGATGATCAGAGATTATGTCTACCACTGGACCATGAGCACTCTCACATGTAATCAGTGCTTGTTTAACGGGCCATTAACACACCTTTAACTGTGCAATTAAGTAAACAATGAATTGAGCATGCGTGTGACATCACGCTCGGCCCTCCCATTCATCTTTTCTTGAAGCTACACCCACCATTGTTTGTATGAACATGACGAACCATTAGAGCTAGGCTATGGTGTATGATGATGTATTTCACATCACGTTCTATGCGATCACTCTCGTGATTTCTTTAATTGGATTTCCCAGGATTAACGCTTTGAAAAGGTAAGAATTTCTAGCTAACCCTTGCCCTAAGCAGGCTAACGCTAAGGATCGAAAAAGGGTGTTGGATCGTAAAGACGTGTCAGTTTCCCTAAGACCGAAAAGGGGAGTTCGATCGTAAGAGAGAGTCACTGGAGCGTGAGCCATGGTAGTGAGACAGCGGTCATGCTATAGCATGGTAACTGAGCGGATGGTAGCGCTCGGGCTGTGCCCAGTGAACAGCATTGTATCCACATGCCATAGCTGGCACGGGTGGCCCGGTCATCTAAGGCGCCGCGATTCGCTGTGCAGAGTTGCGTCCCTTGGGCACGCCAGAAACCTATGATTGTGGGTTCGAATCCAGGCTCGCCCTGATTATGTGTCTAGGTTTATAAGCACAATATCCATGCTCGTGGGTTTTACCGAAATGGTAAACGTCTGAGACCTGCATCACTTCGGGCTTTCCTAACCCATTAAAGCTGACACGCCGCGATATAACTGGAATACTGTTGAAAGCTGCCTTAAACTCAACTCACTCACTTACTCAACATGACTTTCTGTAAGGTGGTCTAAAAGTGATTGAAAGAAAAAAGGGAAAGATGAGCTAGCTCAAGGCCAGCTGTCAGAAACCACTTATAAGCGACCTTCAATTTCACAATCTGCACTTGCAGATCTATATCGGGGTACGACGATACACTAGCTCAGCCAGGCTACAAGGTTTGACAGTTTAGATACAATGCAGCTCAGGATATAATGACGCTCAATATATCTTGAATGGGTTTGGGATTTTAGGCTAGTTTTCTACGTTGTCCCGAATGACTGAATAATAACATGCACATGGTACTTCGAAGACACAACTCCGAGCAACGCATGTCACATTAAAGTGAGAGAATAAATTATTTCTTGTATGACACCATAACATACCTGAAGCAACCTAGATGTTCTCGGACTTGCAACACTGCGAATCATTGTTGCAAACTTCGTTTACGATCTTCACCTGTCCCGTGTACTAGGCCGGTTCAATGTGTTCAATGTGACAATTACTTCCGGTAAGACAGGCTAGGTCCGAGCTAAATTTTTGTGGCAAACCTATTGGTCATGTTAAAAACAAGGCATTATTTGATTGGATAGGAGATTACACGCAAAAATGTGATGCAAATCAGCTTTTAAGTTGCATACCAAATCTCGTAACAAAAAGGCTTTTCATCCCATGCAAAGTCATTTGATATTGACAATGTTTTTAGGTAAATGAGTAGACAGTCTTGAGGGTGATAGGAAGTCATAATTGTGCACTCTATTATATGATCTGACATATGTAGACTCAGTGGTACAGTGGTCAAATCTTCAAAAGACGTATATATACATGTACCCACATACGCCTTTGATGGTAAAATGTTTTGTGTTTCCAGAGAACAATAATAACAACTTATAAGCGATTGGGACAAAAAGTGACAATCAAACAAATATTTTTGTTTAAATTCACATGTTTAAACCACATGCTTTTTTCTAGGGAGTTGAAGTATATATGTACACTCGAGTTCAATATGTGTGTATATAGATTACATCATATGTTCACTATTCTCGACAGGCGCCGCTTTACTATATAATGTCAATATACATAATTATTGTTAATATATAATCGATTTTATATTTGTATATAATTAAATCATTCCTAGATTTATTGATAACTAATAACCGAATTTGTGATGTCAATTATTCACTTCTCGGTACGTTATATATACGTCTTTGGTGCACATAATACCACAGTAAATTAGCTGATAGCAAAGACGTACCTACCTACCTACCTACCTACCTACCTACCTACCTACCTACCTACCTACCTACCTACCTACCTACCTACCTACCTACCTACCTACCTACCTACCTACCTACACCGCCTCCGTGGTCTAATGGTAGAGCGTCCGCCCGGAGAGCGTAAGGTCCGGGGTTCGATCCCCGGCCGCGTCATACCAAAAGACGTTAAAAGATGGTACTTGTTGTTACCCTGCCTGGCTAAAACAAGGACTGGTCGGCTCGGAGTCAGTATACTGTGTCTGAGTTGGGAATTCATGTTAAACTGCGGCATGGTATCTCAGTGAGCTAGCACTATAATTCGGCATCAGTCCGGACTAGTACAAGCAGCCACACAAACACACACACACACACACGTACATGCAGAAAGGTCAAGGGATCCGTTAATGTGAAAAGATAATTTATTGATATCTAAACTTTACCATTATTTCAAGATATTCAATTATAAGATATCATAAAAGGAATTTTCGATATAACCAAATTTGTAATAGCCAAAATATGTTATGATGAAATGCATTTTAGATATTAATTTTGTGACATCAATAAATATGTTATAGCATAAAATCGAATTTGTGATATGAATAATTCATTTAGGGAATAAAAAGTAAAACGGTCTTTCATACATTCGTGCCTGTCCGAACTGTTTGACCTTGAATGACCCGAGTTATCTCAAATGAAACTGTACTGCGCCAATGAATTACTTCCCTTTATACAACAAGGCTTTTTCCTAGCTTATGCAGGTCATATTGTTTACATGGGATACCAAGAACTGTCTTGCGCAGTATACGAAATCATGTTTTGATTGGACAGTGATATGTAAGGCCTTCTGTGATTGGATAATAATTGTGCTTAGCGTTTGCGATACATTTCTCGATATAAACATAGGCCACGCGATACTGTTAACAAATCGTTCAGGATGCCTTTGATTGTTAAAGATTTCAGCTGGGAAGAAAACGAATCAACGCTTTTCTTAACCGTTCCCCTGAAAGGCGTGAAAGCTAACAAAGTAGACATATTTTCATCAGAAGAATATATCAAAGTGAGTATACAGTAAGGGGTTTGCAGCCTCTTTGCAATATCTGCCCCAGTGTCCGAAATATCAATTAATATTATCTAAACATTCTATAACCCCAAAGAAGTATTTCTGATAATGCGTCTAATAAAACAGTGTCTTTTGGTGTGATGGGGCCAGGAATCAATTCCCTGACCTTCTGTTCTCTGGGCGACACTGTCATGTTCTTCCCCATGGAAATCCTACTAACTAACTAAAGGACTAACTACGTGTAAGGTCAGCACAGTTTAATTGCTTCAAATGCGTCCTATCATCATGGTTGTGCTTGCCCTTTGCTGTAGTCTGTTCTGTAGAATGAACTCTTTGAATGTTTCTGAGGTGAACTGAGGCCCATTGTCAGGGACAACTGCATGGGCGTCCATAGGAAGCAAGGTTCCTCCTAGCTCCAATAGTTTAGTAGCTGTTGTGTTTGACAAGGGAACGACATCAATCCATTTCAATCTGCTGTCTACTATCAGGTAGTTGTTTCCTTGATAATTCTGCAAGCTGATGTGAATTCTTTCCCAAAGTCTATTTTGATATTTCCATGGATGTAGCGGTGCTACTGGTGGATCATACAGATGTCACAACTTTTCACTGTTGCTTCGATGTCCTGGTCCAGGTTTGTATACCATAGGTAGCTTCTTGCTAATTCCTTGGTCTTCACAATTCCCAAGTGTTCTGCTTGTAATTTGTCTAAGACATAGTCTCTGTATTTCTGTGGTATAATCACACATAAACTCCATAGCAAACAACCTTGGTCTACAGAAATCTCAGTTCTTCGTCTGAAGAATGGCTGAAGATTACATCTGCTACATGATTTGGCCATCCTTTTGCTGTCTGCTTCAGTGCTTTAGGCAAGACCGGGGCTATCCTTGTAGCCTCAGCAAATTCTTCTGCCGACATGGGTAAGCTGTTCTTGTAGGTGAAGTAGTTGATGTCTGCCTCAAGTGATTTCTTGCCATGTGTGCTTGGTAAGCAAGGTACAAATATCTGTGGACGTCCAGTTGATGGTACATATCCTTTGCAAGTCCTGCAGTCAGCTGAAATCTGCATGTTGGAATCCAGGTTGTTTACAAACCAGATGTCTATTTCATTACGCGATTTTGATTGGACTATGCATAGGCTCATTAGTTCAGCCAAAATAAAACTCCATAATTCCTGCCTAGTTCGACAAGGGTGGAAACTGGACTTTTATAGTCTGTTAACTCCCTTGCCTTGGGAAAATGTCTGCAGTTTTAATATCCAATCCTTGAATAATCCTCCATGAATAAGTTATGTCATTCACAAGGCATTTTCTTGAGTCCGATCGATGATATCCATGATACAGTTTCTCACATGACATGCACGCAAAGCCTTTAGCTGATGCAAAAACACAGTTCACAGTCACAAATCAGAGATTTGAAATCCAACATCACTCATCACCACTGTCATGTTCTTACCCCTGAACCCATGGACATCGTCTGTGGACATGAGAACATGGCAGACACTCTACCACAAGACCATGGAGGCAGTCAAACATAGAAAAGTCAGGAGGAATGCATGCAGTCAGAAGAAATGTCAGAAGAATTCTGTAGTGTTACCATGGATTATAATTGTCATTGTTGTTAAACAGTATATTGCATAACTGACCACAGGTCTGGGTAGTCCTGTGAGTACCCCGGTCCTTCTCCGGATTCACCTGACCCGAGTAACCAAATTACCCGTCCCAGCCCACCCAAAAGAGTGCCCTCTTAGTAAGCAGGTGACGAGAGTTTCTGTATTGCAAGGTGTACCAGTAAATATATTTCACACCACTGTAACACAACAAACATTCTGTTTGAATAACTGTCTACAAGATGAGAGTGTCTATGAATTCTCCATGGCTCCAAATTATTTTGGTTACAAGTTCACCTACAGCCAATAACATTAACATGATTATGAGGAAATATGTTAATTAATAAAGAGAACATTTGTTTATTTTCATCAAATATCACGTTATCCCATTGACAATGGCAGGCTGGATGTATAATGTGTATATTGGCAGGAAATATGTAAGAAAGAGCATAGTTAACATATTGCAATGAGCATTGTAAGTTTTGAAGCTACATGCATTTAATGAATGTTGCTTCAGGTGAGCTATCCCCCTTACATATTTGAATGCCTCCTGAAGTGTCCAGTTGATGATGCACAGAGCTCAGCCAATGTTGGAAATGGGACCGTTGTGTTTAAACTCAAGAAGAAAGAACAGAAAGTTTGGGGCCAGCTACAATCAGATGATGCAGGTAAAGTATTATTTTACTTTGTTCTGTTAGCGTTATGGATTTGCCCACCCAGAACAATCTTGTTGCTTCCTGTTGTTTCCAGACTTGAAGAATCATCCACAGGAATTAGAAGGAAAGTAACTCTTTGCCTTGTAAGCAATTAAGTGATGTAAGCTGTGTTGTGTTAAACTTACAGGAAACAAGGAGGTGATGAAAGCTTGTGTTGTGTTACAGGAAACAAGGAGGTGATGAAAGCTTGTGTTGTGTTACAGGAAACAAGGAGGTGATGTAAGCTGTGTTGTGTTACAGGAAACAAGGAGGTGATGAAAGCTTGTGTTGTGTTACAGGAAACAAGGAGGTGATGAAAGCTTGTGTTGTGTTACAGGAAACAAGGAGGTGATGTAAGCTTTGTTGTGTTACAGGAAACAAGGATGTGATGAAAGCTTGTGTTGTGTTACAGGAAACAAGGAGGTGATGAAAGCTGTGTTGTGTTACAGGAAACAAGGAGGTGATGAAAGCTTGTGTTGTGTTACAGGAAACAAGGAGGTGATGAAAGCTTGTGTTGTGTTACAGGAAACAAGGAGGTGATGTAAGCTTTGTTGTGTTACAGGAAACAAGGATGTGATGAAAGCTTGTGTTGTGTTACAGGAAACAAGGAGGTGATGAAAGCTGTGTTGTGTTACAGGAAACAAGGAGGTGATGAAAGCTTGTGTTGTGTTACAGGAAACAAGGAGGTGATGAAAGCTGTGTTGTGTTACAGGAAACAAGGAGGTGTTGAGGAAGAAGCGAGAGGAAGCTCAGGCAGAAGTACAAAGAAGACAACAGGAAGAGGGAAAGGCTAAAGCTGAGAAGAAGAGAGAGGAAGACCGATATGCCTTGAATCAGATGATGAAGGTAGGGTGAAGGCCTTTCTAGGTCTACATGCAGTTGTTACATGTAGTTCTGCTGGTGAACCAGCCTTATAGACAACACCCTTATTCTGAATCTTAGTTATCTTGGAGATAAACATTCTGTATTTACTGTGTGGAACTATGTCTCCTGTAGATTGGACAATGCTAAATTGAATTTGGAACCGACTGTGCAAATACTTTTATTTTTAGTTCATTTTAGTTGTAATTTTCTTATGTAGGCCTATTACAATTCCTTTGATAAACCATAAAAGTGTATTTACCGGTTGTGTTATGTATAGTTTACTTACCAATATGTGTGTTACCTTGTATGTGTATTTGACAGCTTGAAGACAGTGAGAGGCAGAGAATTGAGGACATCAAACAGTCTGAGCGGAAGGCTGCTACTGATGAGCTGGAGAGATGGAAAGATGAACAGAGGGCAGAGGCAGAAGCTGTAAGTACACATGATATATGTTGATAAGAGGTTAGTTATGTCTATCATAATATATTAGAGAGCTACTCGATAAATCACAAAGAAAACAAACAATGAAGCGTGGTTTATTTTACAATAAAACGTTGTATCATGACATCATTTCTGGAGATTTGAATATGCGCTCGCAACTTGATGACGTCATATATTGGATGATGTTATTTTTTAGAGGTAAGGGTCTAATACGTTGTTCTCCATAGATGTAGCTGGCCTACACTGATAATCACAGTGGCCAAACTACCAAAAGTGGGAGAGATATGACAATCAGTATTAGCAGAAAAGGTACAGATGATCAACGTGCGGATTGTGAGAATATGCAGGAAATATCAAACTTAACTCACCACTAGATGTGCGCTCCACAACGACTACCATCAGATAATGCCAACACCACTGCTCATATATGGCTCACTCTCACCAAGTGCTATGTCTAAGCACTCTTCTAAAGTAAGAGATTAGCACCGTTGTTGAAGTCGTTCAGCTACGAGGAGAGCACATCATCACCATTCCAATTCATCGGAGGTATCACCTCAGCCTAGCACAGATGCCTGACTGGATGGTGGGCCGCCTCACATCAGTAGCGCTTTCCCCGGAGCCGGGGTCGATGGGAAGAATACCATCTAGTCGCAACCCACGTCTTCACCAGCGGATCCTATGAATAAGGATATGGTTAGGGCCAGAGGAAGACTTTTCCAGGTTAACACTTGGGCCATCGTTCAAAGCGCGAACATTCAGGAGGGACGATATTCTTATCCATGCGTTCGTTTAGCGGACCAGGCTCACGCTTTGGATGAGGACTTGCAGATGATTACCGGTTCTTCAAGACCCATCACGCTCAAAATCCTAGATGCCAGATTTGTTTCTTGAGACAGAAATCAGACGTGTACTTATACCATTATCCTCACAAGCGTCCTCAACTCTTGTAATGGAGCAGGAATATTGGAGGTCAACCTGAACCGCATTTTCAGACCGTGGTTGATTTTCAACAGCATCAAATCGACCACATGAGAAACAACCTCAGAGCAGTCTAAGGCAGAGATACTTTTCCCTCAAGGATCAAGACCAGGATTCCTTTCGTGGCAGAGGCAAATGTCGAAAGTTCAAGGGCAGGGGTGGGGACAAGAGGGGGAAACACTGAAGTGTTGGACAGTCACAACTGGGAGCTCTGGACCCCTTCCTACTCAATGTGTTGTGCTACGGCTACTGCCTGAACTTAGCGGTAGATCAACCGTTGATCACAGCTCAACATCTGCTACTGAAATCCAACATGGACATCTTGTTGCAGATAAGAGCTGTAGAGATTGTACACGCCCCAGTGTTAACACCAGGCTTTTACTCTCCCATCTTTCTGGTACCCAAGAAGGACCCAGACAAGATGTGGATGATTCACAATCTCTCTATGTTCAACAAGCGCTACCTGGAGCGTCCACCTTTCTTCTGCCACACAACTTTGAGACTGCTCAGGATCAAGGATTTCATTTCCCTGATCAGTCTCGACCTACAGGATCCCTACCTGCATGTACCTATCCATCCCTCTGACCACAGGTTCCTCAGGTTCCAGTTTAATGGGGTGCACTACCAATGGGCAGTCCTGCCATTTGGCTTTTCAGTAGCCCCGTGGCTATTTACATGAATAATCAAGTCATTAACTGACTTTCTACACCTGAGGAACATTTGGTTCGAGTCAGACATAGATGACTGTCTCCTGAGTCATCCGGACATGTGCGTGTCCCTGGTGCGTCATAAGGACTTCACCTGGTGTCTATTATATCAATTGGGAGGATAGTCAATGAGGCGAAGTCCCATCTTACTGGCTCCAGTTCATAGGAGGCCTGTTTCAGACAGATCAGGACCTCCTATCAGTGCCGAGGGACAGATGGCTAAAGATCTTATGCCATCTGTCACCTGCCCTGTGTCAATCATGCACACTTCACCAATGGCAAGTGTTGCTAGGGCTACTCACTTCAGCCCAGGATTTGCCAAGCAGAGGTCGCTTACAACTGCGTCCAATACAACAGTTCCTGACCCCCTTCATCAGACGCCAGGATCTGTACACAGCCATCACTCTACCATACCACCTAAGGACTCATCTCAACTGGTGGACGATAGAGTCAAACGTCTATGGAGGCGTCTCATTGTCTGGGACAATCCTGAATCTACACCTGTTCATAAACGCCTCCCTTCAGGGATGGGGTGCTCATTTACAGGGCCAGACTGCCTCAGGGCTGTGGTCCGGCACACAACAAACTCGGAAGCCCACATTCTGGCCATCTCACATTAGCAAGAGCAGTTACAGTTTACCCTACTCTCAGTCTCCATCGACAACAAAGCGCTGGTGTGGTGCCTGCACAATCAAGCGACAACACACTCTCACGCCGACGTTCCGGTTCTTTCACCTAGTAGATTTTACTGATATCTCAAATAAGAAATAAACGACTTGTGGTCATTATTTATCGTACAATAAAACACTGCAGGAAAAATAAACCACTCGGGGCTGCACCCCTCATGGTTTATTCTCCCTGCCCTTTTGGTTTATTCTCCCTGCAGTGTTTAATTGTACGGAAAACAGCTTCAACTTGTTTATTTCTTAAATACAATTCAGTAATATTTGTCTTGTTGTTTCGAAGATAATTGGTGACTAGGTTCTTTTCACTGTAGGAAATCATTAGCATGCTATACCTTGTGACAGGTGTAGGTGTCATCTAAAGGGATGCTAGCAGATGACTGATTGGTGGTTTTAGTTTATGCCTGATTCGAAGTTTTAGTTCCTGTGATGCTATGATCATTTTACATTAATGCAAATGGAATAAATAAATAAGTTAATATTTAACTTTTTATATTTTCAAGCGTAAGAAACATCTGCTTGAACAAAAAAGGGCAGAAAATGAAAGTAAACGAATCGAAGAAAGGAAGAAAGGTATTTTGCATATTTTGTCTTTACATCTCTTTCCTCTTTAATTTTGTCTTCTCACATGATGGTGCCTTCTCACCCCTGTTGTTTAGTGGAAGGTCGGGGATTCAATCCCCGGCTGCGTCATACCAAAAGAGGTTAAAAGGTTTTGTTTGTTTGTTGTTTAACGCCGCACTCAGCAATATTCCAGGTATATGATGGCAGTCTGTAAATAATAGAGTCTGGGCCGGACAATCAAGTGATTGATATCATGAGCATCAATCTATTCAATTGGGATCGATGACATGCATCAACCAAGTCAGCAAGGCTGACCACCCATCCCGTTACTCGCCTTTTACGGCAAGCATGGGTTGCTGAAGACCTATTCTACCCCGAATCGTCATGGGTCGGGTTAAAAGGTGGTACATGTTGTAACCCTGCCTGGTGCCCAGCGCTAAGGAGCTTAAACAAGGACTCAGAGTCAGTACACTGTGTCTGAGTGGGGTCTTTATGTTAAAACTGTGGCATGGTATCTCAAGGGGCTAGCACTATAAACTTGACGTTAGTCCGGACTAGTACACGCAGCCATATACATACACATGCATGCACATCACTACATAAGTGTAATAATCTTGAATGCAACGTTAAACCCCATTTCACCTTTCCTCACCTCACATTATTTTGTTATTAATATGTTTTAATATGTAACAAGAAAGAAGAAAAAGATTCCGATATGGTCAAAGTATTATAATACTGTCATGAATCTAGATGATTGTAGTTAGATCATTGGTATCATTTCAGACTTCTGTGTGATGTAACTGGCTTTGCTAATCAATCACTGAATGCAGGTAAAAAGGCAAACATATTTGAGACTGAGAAGGGCATGCCAACTCGTCAGACAGGGAGGATAGAAGTGAGCCACACCCCCAGAGTGTTCCCAACCCCGGTGCGGGAATCCCAGGCCCCCATGGAGGAAGAGGTAGGTAACCTGATACAGCAATGTTATACGTCATTTAGATTTCCTTTCTGGTCAGGTAGATGCCACTTTACTTATGCTTAATGACCCATGACATGTTAGAGATATTCAGGCATTTTTTCACAAGATTTATAAACAAACAAAATGATATTTATGAAACTTTATTGTTATGTTTGTTTTGGAACACTGGCCAATTTGCTCTTTTAGAAAATCTATAAATCAAGTATCCCTGTGTTATGGGTTTTCGGACACTTAAAAAAACATTTGTAGTTTTCTTGCTAATCACAGGAACAACTCACTCACCAATATTAAAGACAACTTTATCTTGATAACAGGCCATCATCTCACCATTTACAATGTCTATGTGATGCCACAGCCCTTGTAGCGCAAGTAATCATGATAAACATGGCCATCTGAAAACGTATTATGTCCAAAAACCTATGATCCGATAATATAAGTATTGTAAAGATCCAGATATTTCCCCAAATCTAATTAGACTTTCCCCATCTTCCAATGTCCCCAGTAGCTTATGAGGTTAAGTAATCTATCCACAAAGCCTGTCTGTTTGATGTTGTTTTTGTTGTCATTATGTGATTACCTTCCAACTTGTGACAGAGGTGACACAGTGGTGTCATTTATTCTGTTACACAATATTGGTGATATATGAGCTTTTGATCATATATGTAACACAATGATGACCTTTATACATCTATTACCTGCTTGACCCCAGGATGTTGAGAGGTGGTTGGTGTGTATTTCAGTGGTTGAGCTGTAAGTACAAGAGGAGGTTGGTGTGTATTTCAGTGGTTGAGTTGTAAGTACAAGAGGAGGTTGGTGTGTATTTCAGTGGTTGAGCTGTAAGTACAAGAGGAGGTTGGTGTGTATTTCAGTGGTTGAGCTGTAAGTACAAGAGGAGGTTGGTGTGTATTTCAGTGGTTGAGCTGTAAGTACAAGAGGAGGTTGGTGTGTATTTCAGTGGTTGAGCTGTAAGTACAAGAGGAGGTTGGTGTGTATTTCAGTGGTTGAGCTGTAAGTACAAGAGGAGGTTGGAGTGTATTTCAGTGGTTGAGCTGTAAGTACAAGAGGAGGTTGGTGTGTATTTCAGTGGTTGAGCTGTAAGTACAAGAGGAGGTTGGTGTGTATTTCAGTGGTTGAGCTGTAAGTACAAGAGGAGGTTGGTGTGTATTTCAGTGGTTGAGCTGTAAGTACAAGAGGAGGTTGGTGTGTATTTCAGTGGTTGAAGAAGCAGGCAGAGGCACGGAGGACTGTGGAGCTGTCTGATGCAGACCTCTCAGAGGAGGAGAAGAACCCGCTTTGGCTCCGGGACAAGGGCAAGTAAGTAGTGGAGTCTGTTCTTATGTCATAATTTCATCTCACCTTACGTTAAAATACAAATGTCTGAGTGGTTAACAAGGGGGCAATTATTTTCCATGTAGCATGCTCATGCCCCCAGCTGAGAAATTCAAGTTAATCGGAACAAAACTAAGGTAATTTACTTATCTCGCATATGTATCATTGAGCTGAAATGAACCAATGTTTATCTGAGTGCATTGGGTAAAGGGAAGTAACTCGGTTTGTTTGAGGCCTCTGTTAGCTGTCAAAATAGCTGAATCAAAGTATTCTAGTCAGTGAAACTTTGGACATATATTCAAATTAGAAAACAATTGCAAGGCTGCTATCAGGACCCTCAGAGTTTAGACAGTGCAGGCCCCGCCTAAATTCTTCAGGCCCTCTTTTATAAAACACTTGCTGCTTTATGTGACAAAAGAAATCGAGACCAAAATTTATTGCAGGCCAAAAGGACCCATACAAATTTGAGACTAGGGGCCCTACACCAAGTCTACTTGCCACGGTCCTATGGCAGGCGTGTATTTCCAGCACTGATTCTTGGTCTGTATAAATGAATGAGACAAATCAGCTTGGGGTACATAGACTCACACATGGATACATTTACACCTCGAGATCAGTTGACTTATTATGTAGTTACATGTAGCGATTGCCTATTGCCAATATTATTTGGGCACTCAAAACTTATGTAACTTGAATTGTTTTCAGTGAATTTTTCAAGGGTGGTAACTATCAAGCAGCAGTGAATGCCTACACACACGCAATCCGGTTGAGCAACAAGATGCCAGGGTATCCTTCCTTGATAGTCAGCTGCTACTAGACATCAATAGCTTGTCTCCTTCACATGTGCCAATAACTGATGTTGAATAGCTGGGGGTCGTTGTGTTCAGTAATCATAGATGTGACAGTTGTCGTAAGGGACTGGTCACTCATTACAGGGTATACTGTATTATTTGGATTTTGCTTTCCTTAACCTGTGACAAGATTGTACTCTAACAGAGCAGCCTGTCATCTGAAGCTTCGAAACCTCATCAAGTGTGTAGAAGACTGTTCAAAAGTAGGTCTCGCTTCTGTCTATCATCCTTGTCATAATTCTATTGGGAAACATTTGCTTTGAACTACATTTCAAAACTAATTCTATTATTGATATTATTATCTTCATTTTGAGCGAGTGAGTGATTATTGTTTAATGCCACATCGGTAATTTTGCATCTATTCACTACAACTTCATTCTGAGGAGAGTCCTTCGTCAGCTGTATAGGAACAGACCTGGTCTTGTAGTCCTAACCCAACTTCATAGTAGGACATGCATAGGACAATCTTTGTTATAAACACCATCACACAATTAGTTTCTACCCTGTTAATGTCCATGCTGTGTGCTACAGGCTCTGGACCTTCTCCATCCTCCAGTACCCCAGAACGCTGCTAGTCGATGCAGGGCCCTCGTGAGGCGGGGAACAGCATTCTGTCAGCTGGAGATGTATATTGAAGGTGAGCTTCAAGTTGATCAGTTTAATGTGTTGTTCATTGAATGTATATTCCATAACTGATATGAGAGGTATCATCTTGTTTCCTTTAACAATGGACTGTCCTCTATTGTTTATACAAATGGGATACCTCCCTCCCTAATCTTACCAACAGCCTCCATGGTCTAATGATCGAGTGTCCGCCCAGGGAGCAGAGGGTCAGGGGTTTGATTCCTGGCCGTGTCATACCAAAAGACATTAAAAGATGGTATTGTTGTTACCCTGCCTGGCACTCAACATTAAGGGGCTAAAACAAGGACTGGTTGGCTCAGAGTCAGCATACTGTGTCTGAGTGGGGTCCGGACTAGTACAAACAGAGACAAGCGGGCGAATGAATGAATGAATGAATGAATGAATGAATGAATGAATGAATGAATGAATGAAGGAATTCACGTCACTGTATAAGTGCAATAATCTTGAATGCGACATTAATCCCCATTTCATCTAGCCTTCATCTCACCGTAATCTTACCATAACAATGAATAGCTTAATAAATTCATTGTATGTTTGATGGTGTATATTCCAATTAGGTAATGGCATTCAAATGTGAGATATTTTAATATAATATATAACTGGTGACTTCGGCTTAAAAAAATAAAACAATTGATTCTCAGGAAATGATTTTTGAACTTTTTTTTCACTCTTTTTTTTATGGTTGTTCAAACTAGTACATGTATGTAACCAAATAAATAATTGTGTACAATCAACCTGGGAAAGGGCCTCCTACATAAATGTATTCCTTGACACAGTATTAGACTACCGTTAGACTTGGAATTGTTAAGGATTTTTCTTTTTAAATGGAAATAAAAACGAATTGTGCGGCAAACTTTATGATGAGGGGGGCGGTGCCTGAGAACCAAGACTATTATTTTTTTAGCCTTATCTGCCTACGTTTCTTTATTAAGTTTACCTTAAGAGACAGAACATTTATAATTAAACCAAAGTTGATAGTTATAAGCCATACAAGTACAGCATAACAATTAACAGTTATTCTATGACAACATGCAAGTTTTTTTTAGCCCAAACAAACCTATGGTGTCTGGGAGTTGCTAAAATGAAGTGATATGCAGCTAGCTTCCCAGTGTTTGACTGTGTGATGATGTTCTATTCCAGGTCTCCAAGATTACGAAGCTGGTCTGAAGTTAGACCGAGACAACAAAGAGTTACAGGCTGATGCCGAGAAAATCCGTGAGATAATACAAGGCACTGTGGACAGATAAGCAGACACGGACACAGGCAGAGATTGGGGGACGAATGGGGTGTGGAGGAAGACTGAGAGCATGGATGAAGACTTGGGTGCAGATGAAGATTTTGAGAGGCTGAATGATTTTTGGTATACTGCCTTGGGTGTTCAGTCTGTGTTTACCTAACTACACACACTTCTGTACATTTCAACATGATCAGCATCTTCTGTAGTCATATGTGGCCATGGGTGGACTAGCTGGATGCATCTTGCTGTAGTCATATGTGGCCATGGGTGGTCTAGCTAGGTGCATCTTGCTGTAGTCATATGTGGCCATGGGTGGACCAGCTAGGTGCATCTTGCTGTAGTCATATGTGGCCATGGGTGGACTAGCTGGATGCATCTTGCTGTAGTCATATGTGGCCATGGGTGGACCAGCTAGGTGCATCTTGCTGTAGTCATATGTGGCCATGGGTGGACCAGCTAGGTGCATCTTGCTGTAGTCATATGTGGCCATGGGTGGACCAGCTAGGTGCATCTTGCTGTAGTCATATGTGGCCATGGGTAGACAAGCTAGGTGCATCTTGCTGTAGTCATATGTGGCCATAGGCGGACCAGCTAGGTGCATCTTGCTGTTGTCATATGTGGCCATGGGTGGTCCAGCTAGGTGCATCTTGTTGTAGTCATATGTGGCCATGGGTGGTCCAGCTAGGTGCATCTTGTTGTAGTCACATGTTGCCATGGGTGGACCAGCTAGGTGCATCTTGCTGTAGTCATATGTGGCCATGGGTGGTCCATCTAGGTGCATCTTGTTGTAGTCATATGTGGCCATGGGTGGTCCAGCTAGGTGCATCTTGCTGTAGTCACATGTGGCCATGGGTGGACCAGCTAGGTGCATCTTGCTGTGCTGGGTAGCATTTGGTAGGTTTCACATTCAGACTTGACTCTATCATGACTGTCAGCACCTGTTCTTGTAGATTTCACCACAGATGCAAACATCCATCTTCTGTATCACTTAGAAGATAAACCTACTGTATTGGTAATGTTCAGCTAGGTTGCCTGTGGATTTTACCATGCCAAATTGAATTTGGAACTGAACATGCAATCAGAATTGATTTTTCCAAAGTCATGTTTTGGGATTTCCTCCTACATTAAGCTGAAGGATGTGATATAGCTGAAATTCTGCTCAACTGACTCCATCAAAAGTAATGTTTTCTTGTTGATCAAATCATCTGCTTGTATGCTATGAAATCAATGATATTGTTCATTTGAAAGATTGGAAATGTTATAATGATTAGGAGTTTCTTGTAATAAATAATAAATGTGTTGTCAATTAAAACGAAGTAATGTAACATAATTCCTGTTGGAACACTATTTGTAAGGACCTACAGTCAACTCTAAGAAGTAAGATGTTTTGAATAGGCAGCTATAGATTCCAATGTCCCCAAGGAGTGGTAAGTGTGAGGAGCGCTGGAAGCTTGTGCTTGATGGAGATGGCTGGACAGTATTAGTTGTAGACGTATCACATGGATCAGTCACTGTGACTTGGCTGACTGTGTGTCACTGGAGGGTGGAGATGGCGATGTGGCAGCGGACACAGACACTTTCCATGGCAACCGGGTCATGTGTTCACTACGGGACTTGGCTGACTGTGTGTCACTGGAGGGTGGAGATGGCGATGTGGCAGCGGACACAGACACTTTCCATGGCAACCGGGTCATGTGTTCACTACGGGACTTGGCTGACTGTGTGTCACTGGAGGGTGGAGATGGCGATGTGGCAGCGGACACAGACACTTTCCATGGCAACTGGGTCATGTGTTCACTACGGGACTTGGCTGACTGTGTGTCACTGGAGGGTGGAGATGGCGATGTGGCAGCGGACACAGACACTTTCCATGGCAACCGGGTCATGTGTTCACTACGGGACTTGGCTGACTGTGTGTCACTGGAGGGTGGAGATGGCGATGTGGCAGCTGACACAGACACTTTCCATGGCAACCGGGTCATGTGTTCACCACGGGACTTGGGTGATGTTCACTCCTCTGTTTCCAAACTCCTGGCATGCTCCAGTAGCTCGGTTGTTTCTCATACTGACAGATTATCATTGCCTGGAATAAAGCTGACTGTGGCGTAAAACAACATTCACATCACTCTCCCTAGTTGTAGTTGTACATAAAATCTCTCAAAATCACTGAAATAAATGATATCATTTAAAAGGATTTTTTTTTTGTATTTGATGTTGTTGATTGCATATGGCAAGTTTTGTAAGCACCAAACAAAGAAGTAACAGAATTTGTGACCTGCATCATATTGGGATTTCCATGTCATGATATATACAGGAAATTCTGTAAAGGAAATCTTAAACTACATATCATCACTCACCTACCCAGTTGAACTGTCTGTTGTAGTGTAAGCTACGTCCACTTACCCAGTTGATCTGCCTGTTCTCCTGTAAGCTACGTCCACTTACCCAGGTGATCTGTCTGTTGTAGTGTAAGCTACGTCCACTTACCGAGTTGATCTGCCTGTTCTCCTGTAAGCTACGTCCACTTACCCAGGTGATCTGTCTGTTCTAGTGTAACCTATGTCCACTTACCCAGTTGATCTGTCTGTTGTAGTGTAAGCTACTTCCACTTACCCAGTTGATCTGTCTGTTTTTATGTAAGCTACATCCACTAACCCAGTGGATCAGTCTGTTCTCGTGTAAGCTATAACCACTTACCTAGTTGATCTGTTTGTTCTCCTGTAAACTATGTCCACTTACCCAGTTGATCTGTCTGTTCTCCTGTAAGCTACGTCCACTTACCCAGTTGATCTGTCTGTTCTCCTGTAAGCTACGTCCACTTGCCCAGTTGATCTGTTTGTTCTCCTGTAAGCTACGTCCACTCACCCAGTTGATCTGTCTGTTCTAGTGTAACCTATGTCCACTGTCCACTTACCCAGTTCATCTGTCTCTTGTAGTGTAACCTACTTCCACTTACCCAGTTCATCTGTCGTAATGTAAGCTACCTCCACTTACCAAGTTCATCTGTCGTAATGTAAGCTACCTCCTCTTACCCAGTTCATCTGTCTGTTGTAGTGTAACCTACGTCTACTTACACAGTTCATCTGTAGTAATGTAAGCTACCTCCACTTACCCAGTTCATCTGTCGTAATGTAAGGTACGTCCACTTACCCAGTTCATCTGTCTGTTGTAGTGTAACCTACATCTACTTACACAGTTCATCTGTCTGTTCTCATGTAAACTACTTCCACTTACCCAGTTCAACTGTCTGTTGTAGTGTAACCTACATCTACTTACACAGTTCATCTGTCATAATGTAAGCTACCTCCACTTACCCAGTTCATTTGTCGTAATGTAAGCTACTTCCACTTACCCAGTTCATCTGTCGTAATGTAAGCTACCTCCACTTACCCAGTTCATCTGTCTGTTGTAGTGTAACCTACGCCTTCTTACACAGTTCATCTGTCGTAATGTAAGCTACCTCCACTTACCCAGTTCATCTGTCGTAATGTAACCAACGTCCACTTACTCAGTTCATCTGTCTGTTGTTGTGTAACCTACGTCCACTTACCCAGTTGATCTGTCGTAATGTAAGCTACCTCCACTTACCCAGTTCATCTGTCGTAATGTAAGCTACCTCCACTTACCCAGTTCATCTGTCTGTTGTAGTGTAACCTACGTCTACTTACACAGTTCATCTGTCGTAATGTAAGCTACCTCCACTTACCCAGTTCATCTGTCGTAATGTAAGCTACCTCCACTTACCCAGTTCATCTGTCTGTTGTAGTGTAACCTACGTCCACTTACCCAGTGCATCTGTCGTAATGTAAGCTACTTCCACTAACCCAGTTCATCTGTCGTTATGTAAGCTACCTCCACTTACCCAGTTTATCTGTCTGTTGTAATGTAACCTACGTCTACTTACACAGGTGATCTGTCTGTTCTCATGTAAGCTACGTCCACTTACCCAGTTGATCTGTCTGTTGTAGTGTAACCTATGTCCACTTACCCAGTTGATCTGTCTGTTTTTATGTAAGCTACATCCACTAACCCAGTGGATGTGTCTGTTCTCGTGTAAGCTATAACCACTTACCCAGTTGATCTGTTTGTTCTCCTGTAAACTATGTCCACCTGCCCAGTTGATCTGTCTGTTCTCCTGTAAGCTACGTCCACTTACCCAGTTGATCTGTCTGTTCTCCTGTAAGCTACGTCCACTTACCCAGTTGATCTGTTTGTTCTCCTGTAAGCTACGTCCACTCACCCAGTTCATCTGTCTGTTGTAGTGTAAGCTACGTCCACTTACCCAGTTCATCTGTCTGTTGTAGTGTAACCTACGTCCACTTACCCAGTTCATCTGTCGTAATGTAAGCTACCTCCACTTACCAAGTTCATCTGTCGTAATTTTAGCTACCTCCTCTTACCCAGTTCATCTGTCTGTTGTAGTGTAACCTACGTCTACGTACAGTGTTTATCTGTCGTAATGTAAGCTACCTCCACTTACCCAGTTCATCTGTCGTAATGTAAGGTATGTCCACTTACCCAGTTCATCTGTCTGTTGTTGTGTAACCTACATCTACTTACACAGTTCATCTGTCTGTTCTCATGTAAACTACTTCCACTTACCCAGTTCATCTGTCTGTTGTAGTGTAACCTACATCTACTTACACAGTTCATCTGTCGTAATGTAAGCTACTTCCACTTACCCAGTTTATCTGTCGTAATGTAAGCTACCTCCACTTACCCAGTTCATCTGTCTGTTGTAATGTAACCTAGGTCTACTACACAGTTCATCTGTCGTAATGTAACCTACGTCCACTTACTCAGTTCATCTGTCTGTTGTTGTGTAACCTACGTGTACTTACACAGTTCATCTATTGTAATGTAAGCTACCTCCACTTACCCAGTTCATCTGTCATAATGTAAGCTACCTCCACTTACCCAGTTCATCTGTCGTAATGTAAGCTACCTCCACTTACCCAGTTCATCTGTCGTAATGTAAGCTACCTCCACTTACCCAGTTCATCTGTCTGTTGTTGTGTAACCTATGTCCACTTACCCAGTTCATCGGTCGTAATGTAAGCTACGTCCACTTACCCAGTTCAACTGTGTGTTGTAGTGTAACCTACGTCTACTTACACAGTTCATCTGTCATAATGTAAGCTACCTCCACTTACCCAGTTCATCTGTCGTAATTTTAGCTACCTCCACTTACCCAGTGCATCTGTCTGTTGTAGTGTAACCTACGTCCACTTACCCAGTTCATCTGTCGTAATGTAAGCTACCTTCACTTACCCAGTTCATCTGTTGTAATGTAAGCTACCTCCACTTACCCAGTTCATCTGTCTTAATGTAAGCTACCTCCACTTACCCAGTTAATCTGTCTGTTGTAGTGTAACCAACGTCTACTTACACAGGTGATCTGTCTGTTCTCATGTAACCTATGTCCACTTACTCAGTTCATCTGTCTGTTGTAGTGTAACCTACGTCTACTTACACAGTTCATCTGTCGTAATGTAAGCTACCTCCACTTACACAGTTCATCTGTCTGTTGTAGTGTAACCTACGTCTACTTACACAGGTGATCTGTCTGTTCTCATGTAAGCTACGTCCACTTACCCAGTTGATTTGTCTGTTGTAGTGTAACCTACGTCCACTTACCCAGTTCATCTGTCATAATGTAAGCTACCTCCACTTACCCAGTTCATCTGTCGTAATGTAAGCTACCTCCACTTACCCAGTTCATCTGTCTGTTGTAGTGTAACCTACGTCCACTTACCCAGTTCATCTGTCGTAATGTAAGCTACCTCCACTTACCCAGTTCATCTGTCGTTATGTAAGCTACCTCCACTTACCCAGTTCATCTGTCTGTTGTAATGTAACCTACGTCTACTTACACAGTTGATCTGTCTGTTCTCATGTAAGCTACGTCCACTTACCCAGTTGATCTGTCTGTTGTAGTGTAACCTACGTCTACTTACACAGTTCATCTGTCGTAATGTAAGCTACCTCCACTTACCAAGTTCATCTGTCTGTTGTAGTGTAACCTACGTCCACTTACCCAGTTCATCTGTTCTCATGTAAGCTACGTCCACTTACGCAGTTCATCTGTCTGTTGTAGTGTAACCTACGTCCACTTACCCAGTTGATCTGTCTGTTCTCATGTAAGCTACGTCCACTTACCCAGTTCATCTGTCTGTTGTAATGTAACCTACGTCCACTTACCCGGTTGATCTGTCTGTTCTCATGTAAGCTACGTCCACTTACTCAGTTCATCTGTCTGTTGTAGAGTAACCTATGTCCACTTACCCAGTTGATCTGTCTGTTGTAGTGTAACCTATGTCCACTTACCACGTTGATACCAGCAAAGTTGATCCTGTGCTTGACACCTGAGAGTTTGTTGGGCTTCGGTCCGTCCCACACTGAAGCTGTCATTGCACATTTGGCGAAGACTCGGTTCAAACTTGCCTCTGTTCACCCTGTATTGATGGATACCTGGTAGGATGAGGTGGCAATGAGGTTGACCTTCAAGCGCTGCACAGACGGCTTTGATTGTATACTCACCAGGGAGCTGAGAATGAAAAGGGATGGGTATTTATCATGTAGTGCTTTGAGCATGTTCCTATATGGCGTGGACACATAGTCCTTCCTATTAAGTTGTTACGGTAATAACAGCAACTTTCAGGTTTGAGAAGTGAGGGAGTGAATGTAAAGACACGTGGGTAACATTTCAGTCATATAGTGACCAGACAACCAGGAAAGGCATTATGTTTTTTTGGTGGTGAGTAAGGTAACATGCTATCAGCTCAAAAGGTATGGTAATTATTTCTGTGCTAAAGACCGCCTGGATATGGAAGATAGAGTCAATTTGAGGCTGGTGGTGATGGGTATTAAGGCATGTATAAATTGGTAGAGAAGCTAGCGGAGTGCGTGGCTTCAGAAGCGTAAGTTGTCCTCAACTGTCAGTGGAGATATCGGAAATTTCCACTACAGCAGAACCCATGATAGTTGCACTAGAGCGGGTCGCGGGTATCAAAAAGACTGACAATGACAAATTGTTCTAGACTCTTTATAGGAGTAACTCTAGTGAATCGAACCGCTTTCATCGAAGGTGATTGATTTTCTTATTTGTTACTTTTCGTGGTGCCTACATCATATGTACTGTATTGGCTTGTAATGAGGTGGGCTGTTTCAGGAAATTGGAAATCTGAACCCCCAACGGTGAATCCCGTGTCGGTCGCCCTACCGGCTCACTTGTACTATACGACATGCATAATTAATGTCGGAAGAAGTCCGTTAACAAAAAGAATTCCTCATCTGATAATACGCATCGACCCCACTGAAGAAACCGTTCATTTTTGTGAACCGTTGAAAAGGTTTTTTTTAGAAGACCAAACTTGGTGTGTTTCCGCTCACCTCGCTGTGAAAGGCCACACACACCTACCTACCATCCAGCCTCCCACTACATCCGGGTCTTTGACACGCACAACCAGTACTTCCCACAGCGTGTTTGGCAGAGTGTGGAATTAACGATTTACTAACGATTGCCACCACGCACTTCACACATATCACCAGTACTAAATAGCCAAGAACAGGAGAGGAATGGAATGTTAGTTCTTCTTGTGAGCAAGTATCGATCATGAACAGAGAAGCGCACTCCATTTTTAGGAATTGTTCTGGCTAAGGGTCCGTCAGATGGCGAAGCAAGGGAGTATCCCTTGGGACAGCTAGTATTGACTACATCCAATTTCGCTTACAGCTACTAACACCTAGAAGAAACTAAGTTTGTGTGGAACAAGGCCTACACTCTTGAACACGCACATGCACACACACACACACACACACACACACACACACACACACACACACACACACACACACACACACACACACACACACACACACACACACATCCCACCCCCGACTCACACACTGTTTAAATTATATAGAATATGGACTGGTAACGATGTTACTGTACAATGTAAACTTTTAACTTGAGTCCCTTACACCATGTAAATGTGTAATTTAAACTTTAATTTTAACAAACGTCGGAGATTCAGCATCTCTTGGAGTTTTGTCTTATAGAAGTATATATTGGTACTTCCGGCGATTTCCCTCTGGTATTCAAAATTAGAGGTAGACGTTTGTGAAACCTTCCAGAGAGGAAATAGCATATCATAATGATTCGTAAATACCTACTTTAGCGGGGGCACGTTTTAATAAAAACATTCTGTTAAAACTCCCCATCAGTGAGGGTGCAGACTTCATTCCATTATCGAGGTAGTGGAACGTAGCATATGGGAATCTGAAACTTCCGATGCCGTTATGTCGCCACATGAGACTATCACCAACTTTAGGGAAGGTCTTCTGGTGAAATTGAAACATCGTTTCTATGTAATCAGTTTGATGAGAGTGGAGTTAGCAGACAGGCGAAGTATTATTTGTATAATCTCACTCAAATTAGCTAGAACAGCCAGTAAACCCAGTCATAGTCTCCCGTTTCCACCTGTGTACGCACTCATACCTGTTGATACCTGATCCAAAGTCAACCGGTGTCAGTATTTAGGGGAACCCCTTATCGATATATTTATCGGTAGATTCTTTCAGTGGCATTTAGAAGTAGGTATGATGAACAATGGAGGTAGTTCTACTGATAATCATATTTTTTTTATTACAAATTCGGTGTTTCAGTGTAGCGTTATCACGTGTGTAGTATCTACACCGACACGTTGTAATCATTGCAGTAAAATATCCAAAAACTATCTCCCTTGCTTGCCTATAAGTGACTGAGCGTTGCAGAACGTCAACCGGTGTCAGTGTTTAGGGGAAAACTTTATTGATGTGCTTGCCTATAAGTGACTGAGCGTTGCAGAACGTCAACCGGTGTCAGTGTTTAGGGGAAAACTTTATTGATGTGCTTGCCTATAAGTGACTGAGCGTTGCAGAACGTCAACCGGTGTCAGTGTTTAGGGGAAAACTTTATTGATGTGCTTGCCTATAAGTGACTGAGCGTTGCAGAACGTCAACCGGTGTCAGTGTTTAGGGGAAAACTTTATTGATGTGCTTGCCTATAAGTGACTGAGCGTTGCAGAACGTCAACCGGTGTCAGTGTTTAGGGGAACCCATTATTGATGTGCTTGCCTATAAGTGACTGAGCGTTGCAGAACGTCAACCGGTGTCAGTGTTTAGGGGAACCCTTTATTGATGTGCTTGCCTATAAGTGACTGAGCGTTGCAGAACGTCAACCGGTGTCAGTGTTTAGGGGAACCCTTTATTGATTCTGCCTATAAGTGACTGAGCGTTGCAGAAAGTCAATCGGTGTCAGTGTTTAGGGGAACCCATCATTGATGTGCTTGCCTATAAGTGATTGAGTGCTGCAGACCGTCAACCGGTGTCAGTGTTTAGGGGAACCCTTTATTGATGTACTTTAGTGATGTACTTTAGTGATACGTGGCAAGATATTTTCGCAAGATCACACCAACAGAAATAGGTTTAAAACCCCTATTCCTACATGTACATTTTATCTAAACGAAGAAAACGCCTTCTTTAACAAAAAGATAAAATATTGTGATGGCTGAAAAATTACTGAGTTGTGAGTTTAAGGGTCGCGGAAAACTCTTTGTTTCCTCTCAACTGGAGATGTTTAAAACCTATACCTTGTAACAGTGGACAGAGCGACACCCTTGAACAACCCACTGCTGGCTTTTCCACCGACAGAAGGCAGAAGTACAGCAGAAACTCAACAGAATCCTCGCTCCTGTCACCGTTCAGACCGACTTTGAGCAAGCCGCCATCCGAGCTATCGAGACTGAGGTTCCTGCAGCCAGAGTGAGAGGATGTTACTTTCACTTCACCCAAGCCATCTGCAGGAAAGTACAAGACTTGGGGTTAGCTGTCCCATACCAAGGAGATCCTGAGGTCAGACGCTGGGTCAGAAGAGCATCATTCCTGGCTCTGTTACCAGAAGCTGACGTCCAAGATGCATGGATCGACGCCATGGACGATACGCCAGAACTAGACAACGCTCAGAGATTTAATGATTATATTGTAACAACTTGGGATGATGATGATGCTAGATTCCCCATCCCTCTATGGAATCACCACCGAAACATTGGACCTCGCACGAACAATAATCTGGAAGGCTTCCACTACTGACTGAACAAGTCTCTGTCACATCATCATCCAAACATTTATCGTTTTGTTGAACTGATCAAGCAAATTGAGACGTCTAAATCTGCCAAGATGCGTCAAATTGACTTTGGTGCTGCTCCCCAAGGCAGAAAGCGAGTGTACCGCGAGAAAGAAAATCAGATTGTGGGACCAACTCAGAGTAGGTTAGAAAAACTGTGTTCAGTTTCTGGATGCTGCTGGTTATCTGTATCCAACTGACCACTTAATGTGAAGCTGCAAACTCAAAATGTTAATATGTGATCCTGCGTTAATGATCATTTAACTTACAGTGATTACTTAATGTGTTTATTTATGTATATATGTCATATAACATAGGTCATTGATGATGATATGTGCTATGATGAATACATATGCTATGCTGAGGAGTATTAAAAGATTATTAAAAGTATTGAAAGTTGTAATTTTGTGTTTCTTGGATCATTCCACTTTAATTGTGGGTATTACAAAGGTAGCTGTTGGTGCAGTCTACCATACCATATGTTGTTTTAAACCGTATGACTAATGGGCCGTATGACTAATGGGAGGACACCTCACTATCAGGTGTGACCACCATGTGCGTTCATACAGGCGAGACAGAGGCTGCGCATTGAAGACACCAAGGCGAAGAAGGATGATAGCCACGTTAGTAGACTTCATGTAGCTTTATAGTCTTGGTCGTGTTCAACTGTTTCCCTTTCTTTGTACCCGAGAAGGAATATCGTATAGTATGTAAAATGCAATGCAAAAGATTACTTATGGGTACATCACCTGCATGGGTAAAATGTAATATCAGTGTAAGGTTAGAGTAAGTAGTTTTGTATCCTGCTATTTTCGCAAAATCGAAACAAAGACCTTTTAATCAATTTCTCGTTTCTGAAAAAAATAACCGCCTAAAAATAACAAACTATATGTAGCTCGCATCGAGATAGGAGAGCCAGTTGAACAGTTTTGATCTCCAAGGAACTAATGTGCAACTTCTTCTCAGAAGCCTCCTGTTTCCATTTGCCCACATGTCGCATCCCATCCAAGGCGTGACACATTCTATTGTTAGGTCAGGTCTGGGTGGATTGCCACAGTGGGCCTGCTGTTGAAGTCGGACAGTTTGCTCACCCACCACTCTACTTCCATACAGGCCCGAGGCAGATCAGTCGTCGTCTCGTAACTGGTGACGCAGTAGACCCCGACTCGTTGATTAAACTTAATGTTTGATTCAGGAGCATTAATAGCTGGCAACCGTTACTAAGTATTACATTTCCTATCAGTGTGATTACATTCGAAAGGAAGCTGATAAATATCAAGTAACACACTACACCGCATTGTTAAAACGCCTTTGAAGTGGCAGCAGTTATTGATGCACCGATCCCTTACATAATTATCCTCGAGGAAAGGTGTTCTGTGACCATCCTTAATGATGATATATTATTTTGAACAAGGTATGGTTTAAGCACAAATCAATCGCAGACAGCATATTGACACCAAGTGGTGCTGATGGATGTTATAATGGATGTTATATAGTCAGTCTGAGAGATATGACAGGACATGATATGACACCCGGGAACATTCAAATACAGCAATCTACTCACGTTCCACTAGCTCCCTCAGTCTGTGTGGAAAACATTCATTCTATATGTACCACATGAAAGTAGAACACATTTATTTAAAGAATATAGAATGCGTAATGTACTGATTTGTGTAAGTCTGTATATATTTTGTCGTATTGACCTTGAACTTGAAATGCTAATGCATACGTATAAACACAGTGCAACGTTAAACGAGGCAGCAACAATGGTAAGCTTATTACAAGAACAACATCTCGTATTTTGATCACATCCCACTAGATGCCATGTTTGCACCACCAATAAATCACGTATAAGAGTTGGATGTCATTCCCGTTATTTTCTGTCGCCAGTATGAGTAACTGAGACTTGATTTAAGCATGCATTGCTGGATGTATATTTAGGCGGCTATAGATACATCAGTCGTGATCTATTGATTCATGATTTGATTGACATAATGAGGAGAAGATTCAGTTATCCGATCGCTCCTTTGTCGACCCCCACACCCCCTCAGGCGTGCGCTCACAGAAATAGCCAACATGCGTCACCCTAGCATGGAACACTGTAAGGGACATTCTGACGTTCTTGCGTTTTCGAGATCTCTACCTCTCGAAACAAGCTAAAAATGCCAAAAGTGCGAGAATGCGAGATTTGGAGAACTCTCGTGGTTTCCTACAAAGCACTTTTTTTTTCAAAAGTCAAGAACGCGAGAATACCCCACTTGGGCACATGGTGTAAAAGTTATGAATGAGCTTGAAAATGTTATGTGATTTACGCAACATATAACCCGTTTCCGTTATTCGTTTCTATGAAATGTAAAGGAATCAACTCTGGTTCTTACAGTTCTAATATACTTTTAATTAAAGACAGACTCAATATAAAAAAAACACATTCATGTATATGCTTTTGCGAGGCAACAAAAATATGTCTCACGATAATGAAAACATTAAGGTGCCTGAAATCTTGAAAAACAATCACCGTTAGTTACAGAAACGAAGATCCGGGATAGGATAGGTCTTCACCAACCCATACTTGCAGTAAAAGGCTATTATGCTTGTAAGATGCAACTAACGGGATCGGGTGGTCAGGCTCGCTGACTTGGTTGATGCAGATCAGCGATCCCAATTGCGTCCAGACTCGATTACTTACAGACCGCCGTCATATAGCTGGAATATTGCGGAGTGCGACGTTAAACAACGAACAAACAAACAAACTACAGAAACGATGTTCACCTCCGACGTTAAAAAATATTCACATTGTTAGTAGTTGTTATACCCCTATATTGGTAGAATTACTACATACTATTACTTCACATCAAACAAGTGTCCTAATGTATACGAGGTTATATAACATTGTAATACCTTCGCACTATTTGTAGTATTAGGGAGTCTTTGTATAGTCTCCCTAGTAGCATACAGTAGTTGATTGTGACCTTATTATATTGCCTTCTCCGACAAGAAGTAAGATATGAATATATTGTTGCGGGTCGAGTCCCAAATTGTAACAATATGTTAACCTAGAAATATGCACGTAAAGGAATTTAATGTGAAACAACAAACAACCAACATTATACAATCAACAATTGTATTACAAAATTAAATAGGTTTGCAAATCAATACAAATTACTGCAAAGCAATTACAGTGGCAGTATGCAATAGAGTGGTGATCCAATTCAATGGTTGTATCAAATACAATTTTTTTTGGCAGTTGTGATATAAAAAAGTTCAGTGATAATAATATTCACTAATCCGCAAAAGCATCCGAGATAGGCCTAGGCTGGGAATCGTCACACGAAAACTGGTCTGGAAGTAATATCAGATGAAATGTGAGATGACATGTGAGATGAAATAGGGACGCGCCCGCTATAGTCTAACCAGCTTTCAGCACTTTCCACACAGAACTCAATCTCATTAAAATCAGATCTTAGTTTTCGCTACCACTAAACAAAGATCTGAGAACATCCCATTACGGGTCACGTCAGACCGACCTTGCGCGAACTTTGACCGACCAATGGAATGACTGACAAGAAGTCGACATTAGCCAGTCAGAAGGCAGTTTTCTCGTGCTTTACGGCACTAATTACAAATTGGCGACTTCGCTTCGAAACGTATTTTGACAAATTCTCGATTAAAAATGTGTAACCTGAACAAAAGAACATTCTGGAATGGCTAATAGATGGTCTAGGCTTATATATGGATTCAGTCGTTAAGACCGTAACTATCGTTCAGGATACCCCGTGTTAAAGTTTTCGAGGTTGCATGATTAGAAATCCGACTGTCACTTTCATGATCTGGTAAGCGACGCTCTGATTGGTAGGATGAAAGGTTGTTCCTAATGGGATGTCTTCAGATCTTTCTTTAGCAGTAGCGAGAACTAAGATCTAATTTTAATGAGATTGGACAGAACTTGACCAGTCCAGTGTCACTAGAACATCACAGAATATTCCGCTTGACATCCATCTATGCTGTCCCGTAAGGTTACAGATAATTCGAGCATCTAAATATGATAACTTCCTCACCACTGCTAACAATAAAAAGAAGTACATTCCAGACAACTAATCATTGCCCAAATACAATGCAATGAATCTCAACAGCAACAACGCAATACAGTTACAATTATTGTTTAACAATAAATTACACTCTCACACACACACTCACACACACACACACACACACACACACACACACACACACACACACACACACACACACACACACACACACACACACACACACACTGTCATTGTGTTGACTCCCGGTACCTACAGACAAGACATATCGCTAATATGTGTCTTCCTGACTTCCTCTTCTTGATGAAATGGTACGAGCCTGTAGATCGCAACAGGTTTTCCAAGAAATAAAAGACAAAAAATAAAATTGCTCCCGCCTCTCATCTTTTTCTAAATTGAATGTAAATGTTACAAATAATGTCACGAAAAACAGGTCTTCGGCGTTAAACTCTTTGGTGATTTCGTGTTCTAGTATTTGTGGCCTGATTTGGCAAGTGTACATTGCGAGAATATATATCGTGTACAAATGTCGCATTCTCGATTTTTGCGAAAATTTACTATTACCTATCACATTTGACTGCAAGACTTTGGTCAAATCTCGCATTCTTGTACCTTTTGCATATTCAGCTTGTTTCCAAATGTCGAGATCGCCTTTACAGTATTCCATACCTTAGGCCTTTCGTTGCTACGTGCGTTGAATTCTGTTACTGCAATACTTCTCCATAACGCTATAGTCTAATACTGTGAGGGGAGTCTGACAGTGCAAAGCTATTTTGCGATTAACGCTTTGATGCCGCTCCAATACCTTGTTAACCCTGGACAAATATGCGACGGCCAGTTGATTTGACCGTTCCAGAAAACCAGTGGCCAATTCGGTCATAACCGCAATCATGTGTTCCAAGAAAGTAGTTAACTTTTAAGATCCGGGTAACCTTTTCTCTTGTTCTTTAACATATTTCTAAAATGACGTCCAAGGCAGTGTTCAGATACAGAAACTCGATCATTCACTTTCTATTTTATTGCTTAACACCGCACTGAACAATATCCCAGCTATATGACGGCGGTCTCCAAAACATCGAGTCTGGACCAGAATGATATCATGCTTGATATGATGAGTAATTGAAATACGATGACAGGCATCAACCACCCGACAAGAATAGCCGGTGTAGCAGGTTCGCATCAATTCCTTAAAATTCACTCTTGAGTTTGTACACGGCGTCATCATCATCATCATCACCATCATCACCATCATCATCAGAAAATGATGTGCTCCACTACACAATCAAAAAGATAACAACAAAGACTTTTCCAATGGAACAATGTAATGTCTAAATGATTTTTTCTGTTTTCATGGCTGCCACAATTTGCATCGCATTTTACATGATTCGTCAGTGTCGCCCAATCCAGAGTACATTATTATAACAAGGAACAGAGTTAGCATTATATTTGTTATGTCGACATAGATCAAACAGAGATGATTAAAATAGCACCATGCATTGCAAGTACATTGAAATATATGTTAATCCTGTCCAAATCATGGTCGACAGATATGCATACACCACGTTCATCCATCCCCCGTTATACTGTTACAAACGAATGTTGTGCGGTGTAATACACGAACATTGTCTGATAGTGAAGCAATGTCTGGAGTAGATGGCAGCAAACCCATGGCCCAAGTTGCACAAATATCCCGTTTTGGGCGTTTGTCGTCGGAGCGCTAAAAGGAACCAGGCCGTGTTAACAGTCGTTGATTAAATAGCGACTTCATCGAAATGCGGGTGATAGAGAACGTCTTGTAAACAAACACGTCGAGTATTGACAGGAAGTACTCCTTTTTCATTTTGATCCCTAGACAACATCTGTATTTTTTCTATTTTGTAAACGACAGACATCTCCAAATATAACGCGGTTGCATAACAAGTAAACCCGAGTTTGTAATCTTTAAAAACGGATTTTCTCAAGCCTAGAAACCAGAGCAAAACATTTGAATCAAGATGTGAGTAAAAGATGCGGTCTCAGCGTGTTAAACATGTCTCCAAGCTATCGTGGATATTTGGGGCTTACGGCCACGAATGAGATCAACAACTCTCCGGGGAACATGTTCACAACTATCACTTTGACATGTTTAGATGATGCAATATATATGGAATTAGGTACCATCAATTCTGCTAGTTGTACTGCCCGAAATATGCATATTAAGCTGGGTTACATAGTCGCATGATTTCGTCTGCCTCTCATCCTTGGCAGACGTGGTCGGAATTTGTCTCTGATTGCATCACTGTTCGGAATCCCCGCTAGGGAACTGGCAGAATCCGGTATCGTTTCCAGGTAATCTGCCCACTTGAAATGTTGCGCATTCCGGAAGCAGTATTGGACTTTGAGATTCTCCTTCCGGTATGTGTAATAGAGGATGTAGAAATTACACATCTCGTCAGTATTGGTGGCGCTGGAGGAGGAAAAGACGGCGACATTAATGACTTCCAACAGATCCTGGGTGGAATGTATAAGTACTTTCACTGATTTTGTTACTCCATGTTCAATATGAATGACTATTTATATCTCACACGACTGTCTGATCTAGAAACTATGATTTCGTCAAACGTTGATCTCAAAACTCTTGAATCAAATATATATTTCGAATTCTACTTTTCATTTTGTACAAGGTAGTTATTTTCTTATCAAGACCATATCTTTCAAGCTTGATCTTCTTCACAGTCACTGGTCAAATTAACAAATGTCTTTGGAGACTAGTCAAGACCCATGAAATTATGTATTCCGTCTATATTATAAGGCATTCAACTTTCTGGTTATTAGGGCTGACCATATATTTATGTAATTTTCGTATACCCTACTCTCTGAACGTGTATGTGGACCACTCACCCAGTAATTGTATACTCTTCTCTCTGTACGTGTATGTGGACCACTCACCCAATCATTGTATACCCTTCTCTCTGTACGTGTATGTGGGCCACTCACCTAATCATTGTATACTCTTCTCTCTGTACGTGTATGTTGACCACTCTCCTAGTAATTGTATACCCTACTCTCCGTACGTGTATGTGGGCCACTCACCCAATCATTGTATACTCTTCTCTCTGTACGTGTATGTGGACCACTCACCCATTCATCGTATACCCTTCTCTCTGTACGTGTATGTGGACCATTAACCCAATCATTGTATACTCTTCTCTCTGTACGTGTATGTGGGCCACACACCCAATCATTGTATGCTCTTCTCTCTGTACGTGTATGTGGACCACTCACCCAATCGTTATATACCCTTCTCTCTGTACGTGTATGTGGACCACTCACCCATTCATCGTATACCCTTTTCTCTGTACGTGTATGTGGACCATTAACCCAATCGTTATATTCTCTTCTCTCTGTACGTGTATGTTGACCACTCTCCTAGTAATTGCATACCCTACTCTCTGTATGTGTATAAGGACCACTCACCCAATCATTGTATACTCTTCTCTCTGCATGCTATTCATCGTGCATCTGGCCGCCTGTGCAATATATACAAATACAGTACAGTAGCTGACATCGTATAAGCATGACGGTCAGTTACATCGGTCTTAAATGTATTGTTCGTCTGAAATTCCACATAGTCCTGTTAAAATATATATAAAATGTATTTTCAGAAAGATTGCACCGTAAACTGTCGAATGGGATATTCTGAACCGTTTTGCCCACTACAGTTTTGCTTATGTTTCAGTGTTCACACACAACACACCACAAACAAACCCCGATGTTTCAATGTTCACACACACCACACCACAAACAAACCCCAATGTTTCAGTGTTCACACACAACACACCCCAAACAAACCTAATGTTTCAGTGTCCACACACACCACACCACAAACAAACCCCAATGTTTCAGTGTTCACACACAACACACCACAAACAAACCCCAATGTTTCAGTGTTCACACACAACACACCACAAACAAACCCCAGTGTTTCAGTGTTCACGCACAACACACCACAAACAAACCCCGATGTTTCAGTGTTCACACACAACACATCACAAACAAACCCCAATGTTTCAGTGTTCACACACAAACACACAACAAACAAACCCCGATGTTTCAGTGTTCACACACAACACACCACAAACAAACCCCAATGTTTCAGTTTTCACACACAACACGCCACAAACAAACCACAATGTTTCAGTGTTCACACACAACACATCACAAACAAACCCCAATGTTTCAGTGTTCACACACACCACACCACAAACAAACCCCACCTGATCATTGTATGCTAAAGGACAACTTATGGTACAAAATGACCTTCATGATGTTCCGCTCACCAAGATATCCCCCCGCCGTATACTGATGTTCGGAGTTGTGACGTTGTAGAATGTCTGAAACATAAGGACAGCCCTGAACCAAACAGGTGTAGTTGCGTTAATCTGATATTTGTTACTTTATGGTCGTGTTGACTTAATCATTTACAAGTAATGGCGATACAAACACATAATGCTGACATTTTGTACATAAAAGGCGTTGTTTGTAATGTTATATTACTTAACTGCTGACGCATTCGGGATCTTTTGTACCAGCTGACGCCATTCACGGACCGCGTTATGAGTAGGCGAACTTCAAAGTGCTGATTAGACCCCCCCCCACAGGGACGTAATAAGGTAATCTCGTGATATAAATGTCACAGTTCACTTCATCCAATAACTAAAGCTAATCGAATATCGAAGATGGAAGAACGCTGCCATCATTTTTAATTTTGTTTCATTTATGAACCCCAAGAAAATTGGCCATGGGAGTAACTTTAAACAGTGGCACAGGTATTTGAATGTCATGTGAATTTGACAGCTGCACCAATGAAGCATGGTCTGAACTCTCCTTTTTCTTATACATACTCACTTTTTTGGACTCTTTCTTCGATATTGACACGTGCAGATAAATTTAAACACTAAACTAATCTCCCAAGCATTTAATTTCTTTAGGGCGTAGAAATAATTCCTGTAACATTTTACTTGTCATGTAGAATATGTCAAAACTGTGAATGTTTCGATTAATACGTAGTTCGTGTATAAATGGAACCAAAGGCAGACATTCTAATTGATTCGAGTCTCACTTTCACTGTAAGGGCAATTGCTTACAGTCAGTTGCACTAACACAGTGATGTCCACCACCTACCTGTGGCAACTGGGGGGACATCCGTCCTAGCTCTGTCCAGTGGCCGTCTCTAATCCGGTAGCCAGATGTTACTAAACCTGAGGCAAGGACATGCATTGTATTAAAGTTTCATGACAAACTAGTGCGATATATTCCAGGTGCCCGTTCCACAAAGCGATCTTAGGGTTACGATCACCTTAGTGCTAAGATCGCTTTGTACGACGCACTCTGGGCCCATTTGCACAGTTACAATCGATCTTAGGCGCCTACAATCAATTCCACAATCACCATGCAGTTGTCCTATTCCACTGGCACAAACCGATCTTGGCGCGATTGTAAGACGGCTTAGATTTAATTTCGCGATCTTAGCCTACAATGGCTTTGTTTAAGTGGATGGCGATGACAGTCTAATCCTAAGATCACGATGTTATAAAATATTTGCAATAATTGTAGCGATAAGATTGTTTTGTGTTTTTGGGCCCTAATTATTTCCAGGCTGCGATGGTGTATCGGGAACATTGTAGACACTGATCTATTCCTGCACGGATGGTGTATGTATATACATATGTTTACAAGTGGTCTGATGCAAATGCTATTATTGTAGCAGATAACTATTGATGAAACTGTTGGATTTCATCTAGAGGGTGTACGAGAACAGATATCGCGCTGGTTTCGGTGTGAAGACAACCTTGATCAATGTGATTTCAGCCGTCGGTTATTAAGGCTGGTCCTCAATATCAGTTCTAACACCCCCTGGAAAGCCTGACCGTGTTCGCCAGCTTTGACCCCTCCCAACACCCAAATAGAAGTGCTGGTACTTCCTCGACCCGGAGAGCCTGGAAGACCTATGTGGAAGAGCTTACCTAGGTTATGCGAGTGCGTCCTATAGCCTATAGGGAAGATAGAGTAACTGTCGTAATCGCAGGCACTTTCCATGTGGAATTCTACCAAAAGAATCTTGAATTGTGACAACAGCAGAATCATATTACCAAATAGGTTAACTGGGACATGTTTGATATTTATTAATGACGGCATATTAATGGAGCTGAATGATATGCAATACACCAGGCGGTAAGTTTAGATGATTCATTACAACACAATTGTGTATACAATTGGATTAAAGTATTTAAACACCAATGGATATTATGAATAAACCTGATTGAACGAGTATTTCTTTTAAACCGTAAATGTGTGTTTTCTTTAAAGAAATTCAACCAACCTTGCATTTGAGGAGGTATGTAGCCAGTATCTGCTAACACGTAGAAACCCGCTTGCTTCGGTTGTCTGAATCCAAAACATGTTTTTGTTGACATTTTACAACTGCATAAACGATGGCCATTTTTACCCTCTTGGCTGTTTGCCTTGAAATCTTGATTACATGAAGTTAAATACCACATGAACAAAAGGGAAGAGGGGCTTCGAGAGATAAACAATGTTCATTCAGACAGCGGAATACTCTGTTCTGTTTGTCACAACCATCGATATCTGACGTGACATAAAAGTAATAGAATGCATCGTTTCCTTAATTCTACCTGTAGTAGCTCTACCAGTGCTGTAACTTACGGTGTGTAGGTCATGTGCAGTGTTACCCCGGAGTCATCCGTCAGATAACCTGTAAGTATACAATGACCAATACATGTAGTGTACCTCAGTGGTAAGTACCAAGTCAACAGGAGTAAAACGAAAACTATTAACTTGATACCTGATAAAAGCAGTTCGAGAATTCGATATTCTGGGTTTCCTGGTTGACATAGAATTAGTTGGTTGGTTGGTTTGTTGTTTAACGCCGCACTCAGCAATATTTCTTTTACGACCAGCATAGTCGCCTTTTACGGCAAGCATGAGTTGCTGAAAACCTATTCTACCCCGGATCTTCACGGGTCGGTTGACATAGAAAGGACCTGGCTTCATCACTATCTTACCCGGGAATCGTTGCACATAGTGTAGCTGTATGACGATATAATCGATCCCTGTGTCCCCTCCAACGCGGAACCCCACACCTGGAACAAACACGAACTGGTGAAGCGACAGCGTTACACAGTAATTGTCCTGGCTATAAGGAAAAAGCGATGCCAGTAGACGCAATCCCACCTTGAACCATTCTTATAAGGGAATTGAAAAATGAAATGTTTTAAGAGCCCTACCATGGTTGTATCATGAATCTATTACTATGTCTCATACGCATCTATGTAATTAATATATGAGCCACATTAATGACTTACACCTGTAACGTTGTTAGTTATCTGTATTCACATATAGAATAGAATCTGCACATACACTGATCACAAACGATGAGGCCATATCATGCCGTTTAAATTTTGTCCGGGGTTAAATGAATGAGCTGGCTGTAACGGGGCGTTGAACAGTAAATGACGGTGTGCTAGTATACGTGTACGGTAAGCCCAGAGTGATGCAGGTCTTCCATCTTTACCACTGTGGTGAACCAGTGAACGCGGGTGCTGACAAGTTTTGTTTGTTTGTTGTTTAACGCCGTTTAACTCATCAATATTCCAGGTATATGACGGCGGACTGTACATATTCGAGACTGGACCAGACAATCCAGTGATTGACATCATGAGCATAGACCCATGCAATTTGGAGAAGATGACATGCATCAACAAAGTCAGCGAGCCATATCATTACGTATTTTGGCCATGGGGTCGAACTACCGATCTTCCGCTCTCTGGACAGACGCTCTATCCACTAGACCACGTGGTCGGTCCTGAGTAGTAAGCGGTACGGAATGTGCATTCGCTATGTTTGTAGAGGACGACGAAATGGCAACTGTACGACATAAAACTTTGAGTTCATCTTTGACAGCCATCGACGTTGAAATTTAAGACTTCGAAAGCCGGGTTTGAACATGCCTCTGTGACATTCTCAATAGTGTGGGCATATGACGATACACGCGTGTGATGTATTACCTTCAGGGAGATTCATAGATGGTGCGTCAAGTGCCCAGGCAAACACTACTTGGCGGTCTCCGTCTGAACACACTGAGCGCTCCGAGCGGTCACTGGTCTCCCCACAAGACCTGAAACACAAGATGTGAGAATTAAAAATAAGGAACATGTTTCAGAAGCGGTCAACAACCGAGGTACAGCGGGCCCTGTAGTCCAAAATATACTTCTCGCTAGGTCAGTAAAGCAAACACGTCTACATATATAAGATCATTGTCTCCAGGAGCCATTTGGATCCTTTCTGAGTGCATCATGATGTAACCTTGGATGTCCAAACAGTCCGTATTGACAGTAGTTCCTGCTTCATGAGATGTTTGACTACAGTTTCATCAATAGTTATCTGAATTAAAAATATAAAAAACATCCCAAGGATGAATAACAATGATAAATAATAAGTGCATTTATAATGCGCCAGATTCCATTCACCAAGTGGATACCCAAAGCGCTACACTATTATTACCCCGGTAGGTGGATCAGTGTGCACTCGGTTCTATTCTCAGCTCGCTGGGAGTATACAGCCCAAGCTGCCTGTGAGGCGCTAGAAGGATAACAGTCACATCACCATCTCTTCCTACCGGGCACCCATTCACTGATGGGTGAACATAGACATATAACGAACAAAGTCACTTGCCTATGATGACACCACGTGCGGTACGTGTGCTTCAGTGTGGGACAGGACCGAAGCCCTTGAAACTTCCAAGTGCGCCATTTTAAAATGACCATTCACTGAGAATAATTCTGAATTGCTTAATACACCTACGTTTTGATACAAGAGTCATCAGACGATGACAAATCCCCCCGGCCACAACACGTTCGAAAGAACAAATCATCTGACTGTAACTTCAAGTCCAACTTGATGAGAGAAGTTCTATCTAACCTGTCTGTCTGTATACAAGTGTAGTTATTGAGCTATCAAAACAATACCATGGAATTGGGATTCGGAACTGTGTATTTCTGTCAGGCACAAACCAGTATGAAGCAAAATGAGTCAAAATCAATCTTATTGCTATGGAAACAGAAACAATATAAATTCTAAAAATCCCTAAATAGAAAGAGGCACCTGTTGACAACCTGCTCTTTGTGTGTCTATAGTTTCAATGAAGAGTACCTGTTAGTTTTAGACATATGGTCCGGAGTCCAGACAAACACAGCACTATGAACAGAATCAAAAATATATGATTTTTAATTACAGAATTCAGAGAATAATACAGAAAACAATGATTTTGAATCTAATGATGATATCGAGACGTACCAGTAGGGTCGCGTACTCCCGGGAACCTTGCATCCGTACACCATCAGATGATGTGCTCTGGTTCTGGAGGCGTGGGGGTCATACTTGACTGTACAGTAACAAGAGAGGGACATATTCTTTAAAAAACTATTTAATAGTACGTGTTTTTATTACATATCATAACTTATGTTTACAACGGTATGATCATAGAACAATGGTGGTAGAAGTTCTAAATACATAAGTTCTAATCTTTATGAAAATCGTCTTCATGAAACAATTTCGCGGTATTGCATAATCCACGTAATGTACTTAATCATCTTAACGTACAGCGTGTTCGTCATGATTAAATTATGTTGATTGTGAATGCCAATCAGGATCATATTTGAAAAGTGTTTGATATTGATAATGTTACGACATGGAAACAGTGAGTGCATTTGTACCTATGTATGCCGTTCTCCTGTTTAACCTCACCGCATGGCAGAGGAGAGCGTCTGCCTAAAACAGAACATTATCATATAAAGATGTATTTTTATAGATGGTTTATACTGATTCAAAGACCGAGACATATAGAATAGTTAAATTCCCAATAGACATTAACAAATGAAGTCCTGTTGTTCCCAGATATATTCACGAGAATAGGTTTCACAGGCATTTCAGAGTTTATTTGATATATTCATATCAATTATTTCAGTCATTATGATCCCTCGACAAAGAAACTCTTGTTATTATTCTCAAGCGTGAAAAGCATATTTCACATTACTCACACAGACAATATCTTCAAGGGTTCAACATATAACGTGTATAATATATACACGTGTGAATGAACTGTCTATACATAATCAGTTAGAATGAATGAATTGCATTAAATGATTACATTCCATTACGATAAGAAGCTAAACACGATTACACTAATGTCAACCCAACAAGAAGGGTTACCTACACAGGAAAATGTATATGCAATTTGTATTTGATACAGATGTTCCTAAACGTGCTTCATCTTCAGTTTTTTTTATAACAGTTTGGCAAGGGTCCAGACCAGGTTGGCGCTGTGTGATTACATCTAATGTATGCATATGGATCAACAACAGACTGACCGCATCTCAACTGGTATTGGTGATCACGCTCTCTAATTATGACAAGTGCCATTTACAATATGTCTAATGTTTTCACATTAACTTTGTCGCATGCGGAGGTGAAAATATCATCAGAACGTTATTTGATTCAAGAACGTACCTCCTCGGCTCGGACATGAGGCATACGGATTGTCCTAGTGAACGCACTGGGGTCTTCAAGTTTCCCTCCATCGACATAGAGCACGGTGCAAACAAGTGGAAACACCTCAAGAAAAGTGTTAATGAAATCCATCGTTACGGGCCTTCAACCACGTTTAAACCATGTCCCAAGTAGAAGTGGGTTAGTCACATGCGTCCTTATCACTTCCTCGGGCCTGTAAATAGAGATAATCAGATAAAGTGCAGAGCGAGGGCGTGCTATTTATGTCTCTTTGTCTTTCTGACAGTCAAATACACAACAAATGTTCACACTTCACCACCAACGTAGTTTATATATAAACATGAAATTACTGAAGCATATGGACATTGACTGATGTTGACTGACTGTATCACGACTTCATGAAACCAAACAAAGCAGGTTATCTGAACGAGTGTCTTTCGTTCATGTAAAAAAATAGAGGTAGGGTCGACATCCAAGGATCCCTTCAACTGACCTCGGAAACACACATGATGAGATCCCAAGAAGGGTGATTCGCCTTTAAACATCAAGAGCTTACCCGTTGTTGAGGTGAATAGGTTTAACAGTTATTCTTGTCTACAGGCACACTAAACCATTTGTTGTCAATGGCTTCTGATTGTGACGTACGCCTTGGAGCGAATGGTTCCTTAGTGCCCTGACCCATGAAGATGCGGGGTAGAATAGGTCTTCAGCAACCCATGCTTGCCGTAAAAAGCAATTATCTCTTCTCTGTAAGCATCACGTAACGACACTTTTTCAGTGTTTAACAATAAGTCATAAATGCAACTGCATTAACAAATCATGACACAAGGATTAACACAAACATTACTCCAAAACGTTTGTCCTGAGCCAAATGTGCTTTGATGAAAACGATGCAACACGAAACATTGTGGTCGTTTGTATTGAAATACTGGTCCTTTAAACCAGAAACATCTACAGCACTGAATGCTGACTATTGTAATGAAATACTGGTCCTTTAAACCAGAAACATCTACATCACGGAATGCTGACTATTGTAATGAAATACTGGTCCTTTAAACCAGAAACATCTACAGCACTGAATGCTGACTATTGTAATGAAATACTGGTCCTTTAAACCAGAAACATCTACAGCACTGAATGCTGACTATTGTAATGAAATACTGGTCCTTTAAACCAGAAACATCTACATCACGGAATGCTGACTATTGTAATGAAATACTGGTCCTTTAAACCAGAAACATCTACATCACTGAATGCTGACTATTGTAATGAAATACTGGTCCTTTAAACCAGAAACATCTACATCACTGAATGCTGACTATTGTAATGAAATACTGGTCCTTTAAACCAGAAACATCTACATGCTTGAATGCTGACTATTGAAATGAAATACTGGTCCTTTAAACCAGAAACATCTACATCACTGAATGCTGACTATTACTGTTTAGGGATGACATAACCAGCATCAATTATACATGGTCAGTAACTTTGTTCTATCTGTTATCATTTCTGGATGTCAGGCGGGCAGCCCAGCAATGACATTCAGAAGGAAATTAGAATTATTTTAATTCCGTCCGCTGAGAATACCTTGTCTAGGCACGTCTGATATGTGATAGCTCCTGATAGAGCTGTCGTTGGATGCCCGTATCCGTGCGTTCTTTATGAAAGCAGATTGGTGGTTTTACATTAATGTAGTCCAAATCAAAATAGTCAGAATTAATAAACACGAAATCCAAATGGTTATGGCTTTTCATGGTCTACTCAAAGCTATCAAGTTCTGCTACACGGGATAATCACCAACAAGTAATCCACAAACGTTACACGTTTAGTTATTAATGTACAAGCTAAACACGCTAAATCCGACTTCGGACTACAACACCGTACCACATACCTGCATCACAATCTGGCTCTCCACATTCCAGAAACTGCACTCGATTGTCTACAAAAAGTACCGTATTTAAAAAGGTCCGTAAATCCAAACCACATGTTACCTAAAACAATATCTTCACAAGACTAATGACAATTAAGAACTACAGCAAACATTGTTATTTAAAGACTCTTGGTAGAATACCGCGAGTTGCCCGCGGCATGTTTTCAGAAACAATGTCATAATTACCATTCTCCTGCCATTTCCCTCCTTGCCTGGAAAACATGCTGCCTTATTCGTTTAGCCATCATCAGCTCAATAACACTCCTCACTGGTCCTTTTAGTACGACCTACTTCCTTGTCGTCACCGAAAATGCAAAGCGATCATTTGTAGGATCGGTGTATTAAGCATATTCATAGCTATTCAGGTTGACTAAACACTTACAGAGCTGAAATAGATTGATCGTGCTATTCTGGAGGTGGCTATTTTCTACAGCAAGTGCCTTTCAACGGGCACCTTTGTGGAAATGATCCGGTGTGCTATTAATGCTTCGCTTGTAATTATTAGTGTAGGATTACTGTTATTTCGGAAGAGAGGATTAATGCGTGACGTGTGGTGTGTGTAAGGGTACAGGCCAAATCTAACACTATGTATGAAAGTAGGAGGTAGAGTCGTTATCATCATGAGTGAGAACTGCTAAAACTCCCACTAGTTTGTAACTTCATTACAATCATGACAAAATAGGGTAATATTGTCTTTTAAACTGTTGACATTACACAAGTAGTGATTGAGTATGGTTGTACGCCGCTTTTAGCAATATTCAAGCAATATCACGACGGGGGAACACAAGAAATGAGCTTCACACATTGTCCCCATGTGGGGAATCGAACCCGGGCCTTCGGCGTGACGAGCGATCGCTTTAACCACTAGGCTACCCCACCGCCACATTACAAGGACATTATATGATTTGTGATATGTAGCAAGGCGTAGATATTCCCAAATGATTTGATTGGCACCAGCATATGTCAAAAGCATACTCATTGACATACACTGATGTTTCGTAAAGTACATCTTGTTTTACAAATACCATACACTGTTAACAGAAAAGAACAAACTTTAGCAATCGGCTACTTGCCAAGTGCTCTTGGACAAACTGATTTCCACGTGACAACGGAGGATATTAACCTCTGCCGAATTTCCTCCGCCTTCTGAATGGACAAGTTAAGCACAGTAAGTCTCTCCAGGTAATGCATGTTCATAGGACCTGCTCTGTCATATTTTGAAAATATTAAGCCGATGTTCACCTGAAACCGAAATATGATACATAATACAATGGCAATGCCTGTAACATACATACTGGATCAACCCTCACAATGCCTGTAGCATACATACTGGATCAACCCTCACAATGCCTGTAACATACATACTGGATCAATCCTCACAATGCCTGTAACATACATACTGGATCAACCCTCACAATGCCTGTAACATACATACTGGATCAACCCTCACAATGCCTGTAACATACATACTGGATCAACCCTGACAATGCCTGTAACATACACACTGGATCAACCCTCACAATGCCTGTAACATACATACTGGATCAACCCTCACAATGCCTGTAACATACATACTGGATCAACCCTCACAATGCCTGTAACATACATACTGGATCAACCCTCACAATGCCTGTAACATACATACTGGATCAACCCTCACAATGCCTGTAACATACATACTGGATCAACCCTCACAATGCCTGTAACATACATACTGGATCAACCCTCACAATGCCTGTTACATACATACTGGATCAACCCCCACAATGCCTGAAACATACACACTGGATCAACCCTCACAATGCCTGTAACATACATACTGGATCAACCCTCACAATGCCTGTAACATACATACTGGATCAACCCTCACAATGCCTGTTACATACACACTGGATCAACCCTCACAATGCCTGTAATATACACACTGGATCAACCCTCACAATGCCTGTAACATACATACTGGATCAACCCTCACAATGCCTGTAACATACATACTGGATCAACCCTCACAATGCCTGTAACATACATACTGGATCAACCCTCACAATGCCTGTAACATACATACTGGATCAACCCTCACAATGCCTTTAACATACACACTGGATCAACCCTCACAATGCCTGTAACATACATACTGGATCACCCCACAATGCCTGTAACATACATACTGGATCAACCCTCACAATGCCTGTAACATACATACTGGATCAACCCTCACAATGCCTGTAACATACATACTGGATCAACCCTGACAATGCCTGTAACATACACACTGGATCAACCCTCACAATGCCTGTAACATACATACTGGATCACCCCACAATGCCTGTAACATACATACTGGATCAACCCTCACAATGCCTGTAACATACATACTGGATCAACCCTCACAATGCCTGTAACATACATACTGGATCAACCCTCAAAATGCCTGTAACATACATACTGGATCAACCCTCACAATGCCTGTAACATACATACTGGATCAACCCTCACAATGCCTGTAACATACATACTGGATCAACCCTCACAATGCCTGTAACATACATACTGGATCAACCCTCACAATGCCTGTAACATACATACTGGATCAACCCTCACAATGCCTGTAACATACACACTGGATCAACCCTCACAATGCCTGTAACATACATACTGGATCAACCCTCACAATGCCTGTAACATACATACTGGATCAACCCTCACAATGCCTGTAACATACATACTGGATCAACCCTCACAATGCCTGTAACATACATACTGGATCAACCCTCACAATGCCTGTAACATACACACTGGATCAACCCTCACAATGCCTGTAACATACATACTGGATCAACCCTCACAATGCCTGTAACATACACACTGGATCAATCCTCACAATGCCTGTAACATACATACTGGATCAACCCTCACAATGCCTGTAACATACATACTGGATCAACCCTCACAATGCCTGTAACATACATACTGGATCAACCCTCACAATGCCTGTAACATACATACTGGATCAATCCTCACAATGCCTGTAACATACATACTGGATCAACCCTCACAATGCCTGTAACATACACACTGGATCAATCCTCACAATGCCTGTAACATACACACTGGATCAATCCTCACAATGCCTGTAACATACACACTGGATCAACCCTCACAATGCCTGTAACATACATACTGGATCAACCCTCACAATGCCTGTAACATACATACTGGATCAATCCTCACAATGCCTGTAACATACATACTGGATCAATCCTCACAATGCCTGTAACATACACACTGGATCAACCCTGACAATGCCTGTAACATACATACTGGATCAATCCTCACAATGCCTGTAACATACACACTGGATCAACCCTCACAATGCCTGTAACATACATACTGGATCAACCCTCACAATGCCTGTAACATACATACTGGATCAACCCTCACAATGCCTGTAACATACATACTGGATCAACCCTCACAATGCCTGTAACATACACACTGGATCAATCCTCACAATGCCTGTAACATACATACTGGATCAATCCTCACAATGCCTGTAACATACACACTGGATCAACCCTCACAATGCCTGTAACATACATACTGGATCAACCCTCACAATGCCTGTAACATACATACTGGATCAACCCTCACAATGCCTGTAACATACATACTGGATCAACCCTCACAATGCCTGTAACATACATACTGGATCAACCCTCACAATGCCTGTAACATACATACTGGATCAACCCTCACAATGCCTGTAACATACATACTGGATCAACCCTCACAATGCCTGTAACATACACACTGGATCAATCCTCACAATGCCTGTAACATACACACTGGATCAACCCTGACAATGCCTGTAACATACATACTGGATCAACCCTCACAATGCCTGTAACATACACACTGGATCAACCCTCACAATGCCTGTAACATACATACTGGATCAACCCTCACAATGCCTGTAACATACACCCTGGATCAATCCTCACAATGCCTGTAACATACACACTGGATCAACCCTCACAATGCCTGTAACATACATACTGGATCAATCCTCACAATGCCTGTAACATACACACTGGATCAACCCTCACAATGCCTGTAACATACATACTGGATCAACCCTCACAATGCCTGTAACATACATACTGGATCAATCCTCACAATGCCTGTAACATACATACTGGATCAATCCTCACAATGCCTGTAACATACACACTGGATCAACCCTGACAATGCCTGTAAAATACATACTGGATCAATCCTGACAATGCCTGTAACATACACACTGGATCAACCCTCACAATGCCTGTAACATACATACTGGATCAACCCTCACAATGCCTGTAACATACATACTGGATCAACCCTCACAATGCCTGTAACATACACACTGGATCAATCCTCACAATGCCTGTAACATACATACTGGATCAATCCTCACAATGCCTGTAACATACACACTGGATCAACCCTCACAATGCCTGTAACATACATACTGGATCAACCCTCACAATGCCTGTAACATACACACTGGATCAACCCTCACAATGCCTGCAACATACACACTGGATCAATCCTCACAATGCCTGTAACATACACACTGGATCAACCCTCACAATGCCTGTAACATACATACTGGATCAATCCTCACAATGCCTGTAACATACACACTGGATCAACCCTCACAATGCCTGTAACATACATACTGGATCAACCCTCACAATGCCTGTAACATACATACTGGATCAACCCTCACAATGCCTGTAACATACACACTGGATCAACCCTCACAATGCCTGAAACATACATACTGGATCACCCCACAATGCCTGTAACATACACACTGGATCAACCCTCACAATGCCTGTAACATATACACTGGATCAACCCTCACAATGTCTGTAACCAGTCGAGGACAGGATGTATCTCCCTCCCATGTTTGTTGCCGAATGACATAGACATGTTTAGTGTCATTGTTTAGAGTTAGGAATGTTGAAAGCAATATTTTCATAATTATTTATGTAATTCGTAGGTACACATATAGTAGTATACATATGCGAAATAAAGAAAAGTTTCTTTAATAAGTTTGGTTACATCTTTCCAATGATTAATCATCCCCATGCCCCATATAAATTTCTCAATCTTATAGCAAATAAGGCACAACCTTTCATCTCGTGATATTGGCTACTAAATGTCAAGTATCAACCTTTACTTGATTAAAACTGCCAACACAAAGGTTGACGAAGTTGAACATACACTAAACGGTGGGAGAAAATCGCAAGTGAGAATGTTGATCTATTTTCAATGAAAACACAAAGA